ACCATTCTCACTTTCATTTAAAATTCAAACAAAATGAGCTGATTTTTGTGCAACTCTGAAAAAACACTTAGCAAACGGATATTTTGAGGAAATTGTTTTTGCATGAGTGTTTGTTGTTTGGCCGTAAAACAGAATCCGCCCGGGAGTGATGCTAACAAACAAAGCTGGCACTTTAAGCTAATGGCTGTCCTAGAGTCAAATTGCCGCAGGCCTCATTATGCATACAAAATGAAAGCTTATTGGCCGAACGGATGGAGGGAAAGGCGGCATACAAACAAACACCCGGGACAAAAAGCACGGATATGCCAAAAATGGCAAACCGGTGCACGGAATATGGACAACGGACAACGGACAGCGGACAGCGGACAACGACAATGACAGTTGCGTTTACGTTTACGGGGAAACAAACAAAACTACGGGCAATATGAAAGTGCGCACACAACGGCACAAAATCATTTGAAAGCAATTATATCTGGCGATTGCATGACAAGGAGAAGGACGTGGGGCCAACGGCACTGGATCTGGCACTGGGAATGGGTCATTCCGTGCTCCAAGCACGGCGTATACAATGAATCAATTTACGGTACGTAACAAAGCCGCAATTACAAGCGGACGACAGAGACCGAGAAACAAAACGACAATTATGAAAAGAGCAGCGAGTGCAATTGCAATCCCAATTCCACTGACAGTTGTCGATGCATTGCAATGCACAAATTTTTGGGGGCACGCTAAATGACGCAGGGGCCTGGACCGATTTTTTTTCTCTCCCCTCTACCTATTTTCCCCTCCTCATTTTCTCGCTTTTCGCCTGCATTTCTTGTTGCATTCTGCCCAGAGAGTTTTTCCCCAAGACCCCGCGTGTCAGTTCTAATGGATAATTGTCGGACTCGCATGCCCGTTGGCAAGGCATTTCGTTGGTCGTTGCGAAAAGGGTAGCCTGGGGGGAGATTAGCGATTCGAAGGGGTTGGACGGAAAACCACCCTTTCGGCACTTGTTGATTCCACATTTGGGTTAAATCATTTGACACGAAGGCGGAACTAAGTCAACCTAATTAGTTTTACCAAGGCTTTTGTTTTAGATTTTCATTTCTGTTAGTAAATAAAGAGCTCGAAAGGGAAAATCACTGGGAATTTATACTAAAATAAATGCTTGAGAGTCTTTAAATTTAAGGGATAAAGCAGATATTCATTAAGTACTTTAATTTGACTTTATAAAATACATGGAGTCTTTATGAAAAGTTATAGTAAATTATTTTATTGTATGCCTAATAACTTTCTTAGAAACTGTCGATTTTCAAACTGTTTTAGAATATATATACATACATATCTAAAAATTATATAAATTCTTTAGTGCGTTTAATAAATTTAATAAATATTATATATATTCTTAATGGAACGATTTTTTAATCAATATTTAACCAACTTAGCAAAATATTAAAGCTCAAGACAAGGCCACTTTTATTACAGAAGAAGAGTATGTTGCTTGAACTAAACTTTTTACTTAATCCTTACAATCAATATAATAGTTAACTAGACTTTAATAATATAATAATGTCCTGTTTTTGATTATTCATTTTTTTATTATAAACCATTTACAACCAATAAACTCTCCATTGCATCATAAAAGGTATCAAACTGATCGATCACTCCACTAAAAACGATCTCGCTCACTCGATGTTTGCTGCTTTTGCACTAAAAATACTTTGGCAAAGTGAATTGTATTAATAGCAGGGCATTTATTTAGTTATTTCAAAAGTTTTGTTTTGTTTTTATTTTCTTATTTTACTTATTTTCTTTCGCCTTTGTGTTTATTTACTTTGCCATTTTGCGCTTTGCATTGCATCTAGCGAATCTTTTTGCTGTTTTGTTTTTTATGTATTTTATTTTCTGTGGGCCCTTCAAAAGATTTATAAAGTTGCCAAAAGAGTGGGAGTGTAGGGGGGAGCGAGGTGGGTGGGCGGCCTGCAGGGGGCGGGACGGGAGCGTTCAAAATTACTGAGCCGTGGCGATCGCCGCGCCAGTCAACGAAACTGTGAATGGAATTGTATTCGCATGTTTTCAACGATATTCGCCAAGTTGCACAACAAAAATAGAGAAAGATGCAGATACTCTGCCTAGGCTACATATACAGATACAGATACGGATAGTTGTGGCACGGTGATGCGGATGTATCTGTATCTGTGAATCTGGGCAGCGTCATCAAAAGGTATTTTGCATTAATTCAAGATTTATGCATTCAACATTCGCTAGGTGCTGCATTTCCCATTCGCATCGCCACAAGACTTTTACCTAACTTCGATGCAGCCAGTTAGTGATGGGAAAGATACCTAAGATAATGGTATTATATATATTTAATTATAAAGATTAAGCTATGTATGCTTAAACCTTTTTTTTTTGAGACTTTAAATTTGTATAAATGGTATAGGAAATTATATTTCGTTAGAAAACAGTGAAGTTGTTAAGATTGTACCTAAAAATAATTTTATAGTTCAATTATTTAAATTCATGGTTAATCTACGTTTAATAAACAAACATTTTTAAAGACCCTTCATAGTAATAAATTCATTTCAAATGTAAAATTCATCCCATAAATATAACAATAATGGTTCAGCCCTTCTCCGCGCTTCTCAAACATTTTATAACAGTAAGGTGATATAACAGTTATAGTTAAGCCCTTTTCCGTAGATTTCATAATCATAAACATGGATAGTAATTAAGGTTTATGAAATAAATTCAACAACCATTATTATAAGATATTAACACAACGTTTCGATCATCATTTCATTTGAGAAAACCCAAGTGGAAAAGTAGGAAATCAGTGCCTAGGTACTGATACTTCACATCACTGACTACAGTGGCAATAGTTGCACCAGTGGCTGCTGCTGCTTCTGTTGCAGTTGCAGTTGTTGCACCTGCCAACATCGTCGGAGCTCAGCGAGCAGCAGGTGATCCATTTCTTTTATCCGGTGGCCTCCGCTTTCCCGCCACGAGAAAAATATGGCAAGGGATTGTTGGTGAAGGGAAATGTAAGGGGCGGGCCAGCCTATTTTTGCCCCGTGTTGTTGCGAGTTTGCCAAACTAATGCAAATAGACAAGAAGAGCTGCAATCAACATCCGCGCAGCTCCCTGCTCTCCTTTGTGGAGTGCTGAAATTCACTTGGGTTATACAATTTGCAGCATTTCGATAATAGATATATTTATACCCGTACATCTATGTGGATGTATATGCATGAACTGCATAATTTATGGGCATTGCGTGTTCAATGGATTGCGACGACTGTTCGGGCCATATGGCTGTACCTATAGTATGTCTCCTCTCTCTCTCTGTCTATTTTCTATGTCTCCCAGGTTTTCCCCCTAATGGGGTTTCGGGTGGAAGCTGCAGATGGAGAGATGAAATTATGAACGGATTATCTGATCTAGTTTGGCGTACAGCCCTTCTCGGCGCTTCTCACAAAGTTCACTTACGTGGGACTAAAGCTAACTTTGTAACATCAGTTTTTATTTATTTAATTCAATTGTATAAATACGATAATTATAATTGAATATGCCATTCAAATTATACAACACATTCTTTATATTAGTGGCACAAAAAGGTCTAAACTTATATCGAGTTTAAATTAATTTAAAAACATAAAACATTGTTCAGATAGTGTTGTTTGTTAGTTTAAAGTGCATAAAAATAAATTGCATTTAGATTTCGGTTTAATGTGTTATAATAACCACAAACCAACTCTATTTATTTGCAATAAATGCTTGGCGAAAAAACCAGCTGAATTTTAAACAAAGCTATTTCGTTTAATTAATGGATAATCACTTTTAAATCGAACTGAAATCTGAGCGGGGGTATAATATTAATATACAATTTAATGTATGATAATTAGGTCATAATATTAAGCTAAATACACATTGTAATATTCATGGCGTAATGAATTACTTTTTATATTTATAATATTCCACAAGTTTCTCTCTCTTATTAATTTTTAAAACTTTTCAATCTCAATTAGATGCTTCATTCAGAATTAATCGATTTGCGCGCTCTTTTCCATAATTTGTTCACTTTATAGGCTGCGTCAAAAGTCCGTACCCACTTCCATTCGAATCATTACCTTCAATCAAACCACTTGACTGCCAATCACCGGATCGCCCATTTGTTTGTCTGACTTTGTGATGGCAAAAAGTGCCCCCGCCTCAGGCCAAAAAGCCAACCCAAAGTCCCAAAGCCGATGCAAATTATCAGCAATGCAGCTCGCAATTAATCTGCTGCATATGACACCGCAATCACAACTTAACCCATTTTGGACCGGCACCAGCGCACAAGTGTATAAATGTTGGATGAGGGAGGGAATGAAGGCACTGGATGCTGGGCAATCGGACTGATAATAAACTGTAGCCGGAAGGATGGAAGCGGGGACGAAAACAGTAACTGCATTGCACTAAAGCACTAAGCCGAATGGCTTTAATTGAATTTTGATGTCCTTGGCAAATTGTTTTCTAATTAGTTTCGCAGACTTGGATCCCCAGCTGGGCCTGCGCGTCCATTTCTGGCCAGTCCTGGCCAGTTCCGGCCCTCGTTGACATAGAAAAACTTTCTGTCAACAACTCTAACTGCCTTGACACTACTCCCCAAGCTACGCTATGCTCCATTCCCCATTTTCCTTCCGGCGTCCTGCACTTCAATAATGACAAACTTAAAACTTAAACAATTAATGCCACGTCCACGACCTCAAACTAAATAGAAAAAAAGTTGGTAACTGGTTAACTTACTTTTAAACAACGAAGTTTGCATGCTCTTTGGAAGCACAATAACTGAAACTCGTCTGGAAATTTATATTTCTGTGCCTCTCCTAGTCTTTTGAGCCTTTCTCGGCGCTTCTCAAAGAGTTAAGTTAAATGGGCAAAACACACCTTTCGCTGCGCTTCTCAAAAAATGTACTAGCTTAGGTTTTATATGAAGACTTTGCTGACTTGGTTTTGTAAAGAGTATAAAGGGTACTTACCCGGGATCATTGGGCACCTCCGAGGGCGAGCAGGGTCCCAGCTCCACTTGCTGCTGCTGCTGTTGCTGCTGCTGCTGCTGCTCAATCTTGATGTCCATGTTGGGGTTTTAACTTGGGATTGAGATTGACTGGGAGTTCGAGAGCTGATGCTTTGGGGAGCGGGGCTGTTGTCTGGGCTGTCTGCACGGCTGCTACTCTATAATTGTTGCTCCAACGCCTTCTGCTTGCCGGGCATCGAGAACTGCGCGGGGAGGCTGAGTGTTTCTGTGTGTGTGTTATATGGTTGTGGTGTGTGTTATGCGAGTGAGTGTTGGTTGTGGACGGGGGGATGCTGCTTCTACAAGTTGGCTAACAAAGTGTTCCCTTAATCATTGGCCACGTTGGCTGCTAGTTGGCTATTCGATTGGCTCCAGGATTCCTTGATTTCCATTTGGCCTGTCTTTTGCTTTTCCCCACGACGATTTTTCACTGAATTCTATTTTGGGTTTCCTTTGGGTTTCCTTTTAGCGTTTGGCTTTGCTGTTTTGTTAATAATTGTTTTTGGTTACATTGCACACTTTGAATCACATTTCTTGGTTGTTGTTTTAGTTGTTTCGTTTTGCAGGCCACTTTTGGTTTAGTTATTATTGTTTATTTTATTTTTGGTGTGTTGTATTATATTTTAATTTTGGTATTCTTTAATTATTATTTGGTATTTAGGCTTTAAGTTTTAGAAACGTTGCGTTAACTTTTGTTGTTGATTTTTCAATTGATTTAAAGGCAACATATTACGGCAAAGATCTGTTTTGTTTTGTTTTCGGGCGAAAAATTAATTAAATTGCAATTTTAAACTTTTGCCAGGGGAAACTTTTGAAAAGCCAATTTTCCTCCCTTTCACAGCTGCTACTGCTGCTGCTGTGATTTTCCATTTACCCAATATTATCCTCCGCAAACCCCCCGTAAAATGCAATGATTCGCAACGAACAATCGTAAAATGCAAAAAAAAAAATAAAGGAAAAAAATAATGCAATGAGAGTGAGTGGGTGGCAGGTGTAAAGGGCGGTGGCATTGAGTAGGAGGAGTGACGAAAGTGACGGCTGAGTGACAATTGGGATGCTATACTGCAAGTGGAAAAAGATCTTAGCTTCAAAGCAAATTCTCCTCACTAACGTCAAATGAAATTATCAAAATGAGAAATAGAAATAATTTTAAAGTAATCGGAACTAAGCTAAATAAAACTAGGTAAAATTTAAGAGACTATTCGAATTTATAATTTCTTAATTTTAGTGCATTTGATTTCATTATTTAAACGTTCTATTTCATCGTGGAACAATTTTGATGTAAAGATTCTAAAGATTGAGTGTTAAATGTTGTTATTGATTGATTGATCGTTATTGTTATTAATTGGTAATATTTTCTAAATAATATTTATTTTATTGATTTTAAGACAAAAAAGATTTGATTTAGCACAAAACAAAACAAACTCCACAAACTTTCCGTCATGTTACGTTTTTAAGAACATTAAAAGGAACATTAAAACAAAACAAACCCATTATAAATATTAAATTTCAATTATAGTAAATCTATATAATCTTTTTAAAGTTATACCTATTTCCTAACAATTTTTTTCTATTTAGTTTAAAGGCCGAAAATGCTAGAAACCCATTTTTATTGCTGGGAACTTTTTGTTGTTAATGCCATTATTTGCCGTTTCTTTCTCCCTCTCTTCTTTTTAATTCCTTCTATTTTATTTAAGCTTTTTTTTTTCTTTTTGCATTTGCTGTGTTTAATACGCGCCTTGATCTTTCGCACACCCACAATTACAACAACAACAAATAATAGGGAAAGCGATAGAGTGGAAGAGAGATGAAGAGAGAGGGAACATTGCATGCAGTGACTCCCTCAACAAAAACAATAACAACAACAGCAATGTAATAACGCGCAGCATGCAAGCTTTCACAAACAGACACTCACACACACATACGAGCGATTGCCCGTAGAGCACACACACACACGCAAGGGAACATGCACCGTTACAACGAGAGCAGAAGTTAACTGGCGGCAGCAACAAACACGTGACCCGACAATTGCGACAATTGGCAGCACAAAATAAACGAAAATAAAACAAAACAAAAAAAAGAACAGAAAATAAACGAAAATAAAACTACAAATGTGCGGCCGGCTAGTGATCGCCGATAGAGGGCGCCCTCTCCATTGATTGCTAATAATCGAAGTTCCCGTTATGCTGCCAACAGGCAGCCATTTTGTATGTGATCGAGCAAAACCATTCTGATTGGGATTAGAGGAGGAAAATAACTTATTTCATTGTTTTTGTACAATTTTAATTTGTTGGGTAATTAGTCAATATTTGTTTATCGAAATTACTTATGTATTAAATATACATTTATATTTAGCTTATCACCGACCACTGTTAAGGACTTTAAATAATTCGAATATTATTGAAAATATTTAAAGGCAATAGAAATCTATATTCTCTTTTTATAAAACACCACTAGCTTACTAACAAAAATCTTGGGATAAAATAAACAAAATATTGAATAAACTATTATATAATATTTCTAATCCCGACATTGATGGCTTCAAATCATTCAAACAAAAAGATCACTGCAATAGTAAAGCTTTCGTTCCCTCCCTCTAATTTTTCCAATCAGAAATAATTTTGCCGGCCGGCAGCCATTTTGCAGGAAAGATCAACAACAGCAGCAGCTGGAAAGCACAGTGGAAGGGGTGAAGAAGGAGACGCAAAAGAGGGGTCTTAACTTTTTCTATGCACTTGTTATTGTAGTTGTTTGTAATTGTAAATCGAATATGCCGCGCACTTTTATTTGTTTTCCCTTTTTTTTTGTTGTTTTGTTTTTATTTTTTATATTATATAATCGTCAAATTGCACTCCACACAGCCATCGAGGTAAACAAAATGCAAAATGCCCGCTCTGTTCGGGTGTATATCTCGTTAACTATTCTTTCGTTATTTCTATTATTTATTTCTTGCGCGCACGTGTGTGGGTGTTTTGCACGCACTTCACGGGAACTCAGAAATCGGGACTCGACTCGAGTGGAGGAAAATACGGATTGCAATTATAGTGCAACGACGACGACGGCGGCGGCGGCGGTGGCGTTGATTTATTTTCCCTCTGTGCTGTTTTTCTTCAACTTTTTTCAGTGCGCGCACACGAACGCGACAACCAACAAGACGACACTGAGAAACGGTACCCCAAAAACACAACTAACGGCCCCAAACGACCGGCGGCAGAGACGCCGGCTGCGCCACGCTGCACTCTCTGGCGGCCGCATTATTGTTGCCTTCCTGAGCAAAGCTTTGCGCCGGCTGCGACGTCGCTGGCGGCAGCGGCAGTTGCACTATTTACCGGCCTGCAGCACATGGCGCATGTACTTCAGCATCACAGCTGATAAGTGATAAGGCCGCTGAGCGGCCAGCGTGAGAGCACGTGAGAGAGAGTGTTCACTAAGCGAGAGAGAGAGTGTTTTTTGCAAAGGGAGCGGCGGTGCGCTCTCTTAAATGCTAGCGAGCTTTTAGAAACACACACTGCTCGAAGGGCATGTTGGTTTTCAAGTTGCGTATACGCAATATTATATTTTCTGTTTTTTTTCTTTTGAAATTCGGTAAATATTGCGTATACGCAAAACATAATTTTTGAACTGACATGTTGTATGAGTTTATAAATTTATAAATCTATAGCAGCCATAGGAGAAATCGGTAATTTAAATTTAAATTTATCTCAAGTGATAGTGATAGTTGCCTACAAAAATATCTGAGGATTCTCAATATAAATCACCCAAAACTTCGCGGTTGTAATAAATAATCAATTGAATTCAATTTTCATATCATATCACGTATACGCACTGTTGCTTTTATCTAATGTTGGTCTCAGATTTTTTGGCAAATACCTAAACTATAGTTTTTGCTATAGCTTTCGTTTCATATGATTAAAATTACTTTAAATATGTTTGCTGAAAATTAAGGATCTCAATTTATGGATCTTATATTTATCCTCCAATAAGATAAATTAAATATACGGCTGGTTTCCACCATTAAAAATCAAATTTTTATTCTTTTTATCAAATTTATTTCGTGAAAACTCTATATTCGTAAGTCACTTTAATTTGCAAATTATTGTATGTCGTTTTTCTATTCAATAATTAAATATCTAAGCAAGATAGATCCCTCTCTTTGGTAATACAAATTTAATGAATACAGAAAGGCTCTATTTTACTCCTAATTAATTGCTTGAGGATTTCGAACTGTTTATTTCAAATTTTATTACTTGGGATATGGCAAAAGGTAATTTTATTTTATTGAAAAAATAAGGAAAACATATGGAATTTATTATAAATTTAGATAGAGGAAAATCGTTTATTAAAGACTACGAAGCTCTTTCATGTTTTCCTGAACCTTTAATAGAGAATTTTCCGAAATTATTTTCGTAGCATTTTAACGTCGTTTTAATTTTGTTTTCCCACACGGTGAGGCTTTGAACCACTTTATTGCGTTCGGAAAATACGGCATACGGGAAATTTAGCTCAACACTGGAACGAGGTATCCATTGGGGCAATCTTAAAATTAGGCAAAAAACAGTGGTGAATGCGTCATGAAGACTGCGGCTCCAGGAGCTATTGTTACTCCGGGCAACATTTCAGGAACATGGGCGTAAGGCAGCTCAGCTCCGATCGGCGGTCAAAATGGGGGGGGATGACAACAGAAACACCCTCGAGCACTCCACTCCGAACTCCTCAGCGAGTCCCGTACCTAACTATTCTGGGCAGTTACGGGAGGGGATGTGGGCGGAGAAGTTGGCGTGCTGTCTAGGGGCTGCCTGCGCTCCTTCTCTTTGTTCCAGCTCTTTAGGCCCTCGGGCAGAGTGGTGTCCTCCTCAAAGGAGCCGGTGCCCTCGACGAACTCCTCATAAGTGGACTTCTCCTTAAAAGGACGCGGACCGAGCAGCTCGATCATATCGTCACGGCTAAGGACCTCGTTCTGAAGCAGTCGTTCCGCCACGCGTTGCACATCCTCCTTGTGCTTGGTCAGTAGACTAGTGGTGGCCTCGTGGGCGCACTTTATGATCGTTCGCACCTCGCCGTCAATCATCTGGGCGGTGTCCTCGGAGTAGGGTTTGCTGAACACCGGATCGCCAGCCTGGCCGACATCGAAGCTGACCCAACCCACCTTCTCGTTCATGCCGAAGCGCACTACCTGCGAGTACGCAATGTCGGTGATCTTCTTCAGATCGTCCTGGGCACCGGTGGTAATACGATTGAAGAACAGCTCCTCGGCCACACGACCGCCTAGGGTCATGCACATGCGATCAAACAGCTGCTCCTTGGACAACAGATAGTGATCCTTGGGCAGATACTGGGCATAGCCCAGGCCCTTGCCGCGCGGGATGATTGAGACTTTAAGTAGGGGATCGGCATGCTCCAGGAACCAGCCAGCCACGGCATGTCCAGCCTCATGATGCGCCACTGTTCGCTTCTCTTCCGGCGCCAAAACATTGGTCTTCTTCTCCATGCCGGCAATAACGCGCTCAATGGCCTGTTCGAAGTGCTTCAGGATAATTGAGTCCTTGGAGTCACGGGCCGCGATAAGAGCGGCTTCATTGCACACATTGGCAATATCGGCACCTGTAAAGCCAGGCGTGAGAGCCGCCATCTTTCTGCTTAGCTCGTTTTTGTCAAGCTCCGTCTTCAGGTTACCCAGATGCACTTTGAAGATGCTTGCCCTGCCCTTGATATCAGGCGCAGGGACGTATATCTGCCGATCGAAGCGACCTGGTCGCATCAGAGCCTTATCGAGAATATCCACGCGATTGGTGGCAGCCAGCACCACCACATTCGTTGTGGTATTGAAGCCGTCCATCTCCACCAGCAGTTGGTTCAGCGTGTTCTCCTGCTCCGAATGGCCGCCGAATGTCTTGCCACCACGTTTTCTGCCCACGGCATCAATCTCGTCGATGAAGAGGATGCAGGGAGCGTGCTTGCGGGCCATGGCGAACATGTCTCGCACACGTGATGGACCCACGCCCACGAACATTTCGAGGAACTCGGATCCCGATACTGTAATAAAGGGCACATTCGCCTCACCGGCTGTGGCCTTGGCCAGGAGCGTTTTACCCGTACCGGGCGGACCTGTAAGCATGGCTCCCTTGGGAATCTTAGCGCCCAGATCGATGTACTGTTGAGGGTTTTTCAGGAAGTTCACGAACTCCATGATTTCGATTTTGGCCTCTTCGCAGCCGGCAACGTCCCTTCAAAAAAAAATATAAGTATTATTCATATTAATTAAGAAATTCCGCATTCACTTACTTGAAGCCCACGCCGATTTCGGTGGGATTGATCAGCTTAGCGGTGGACTGCATAACGCCGCCAAAGAGGCCGCCACCCTTGCGTCCACGTCCGCCACCCATCATGTCGGCCGACTTGCGCATCATATAGACAAGAAATCCAATGATGAGTAGCGTGGGCAACAGACCTGTTAAGCTGGCGGCCTCCACCTCGTTCCTGTAGATGACAGGCACAAAGTTAATGGACTCGGTGCCCTGCTCCGTCTGTGCAGTCTCCAAATTTCGCTCGAAGCTGTCGACACTGCCGATGTTAAACCAAAGGACACCGCCGCCGCTATTGCTATTCTGCTGGAGTCGCACGCGCACCCACTTCTTGTTGACAACCTCCAGCTTCTCCACAATTCCCTTGGACAGGTAGCTATTTATTAACATGAAATATAAATAAAAGCATTATGAAACAAGAACATTCCAGAAGAATTCCACTCAATCAGGTTCCTGGTTACTGCACCTGTTCACGAACTCCTTCCAGGAGATCTCCTTGTATCCCATCTCGAAGAAGGCAAATGAACCTAGCAGCACCACAGTGCCTATGGCGCCCAGTAGAATCCAGCGCTCCCTATCGCCGCCGCTACCTCCCTCACCCAGCGGCCTGCCGCCCGGTGCATTGCCAGATCTCGCCGCCTTTGTGCTATTGCTGAACATGCCAAAATTCCAATCTGATTTGGATTCTGACGCTGATCTGGAGGGTTTCGCGGCGCTGGGTTTCTCCGAAGCGGATTTGCTGTTGCTGGATGCCGTTGAAGGCTTCTTTTCACCACTTGCGGATCCTTTTGGCTGACCGGCGGGAGACTTGCCGCCAGCCTCAAAGTACTTCTCGAACCCCTTGGGCGGCTTTTTGCAGAAAAGCTGAATGTGTTTAACGACGAAGCGGAGCAGAGGGTTCAGTTCCGCGGGAAGTATGTAGACCCCCGCACCGGTGGCTCCTGTGGGCAGTGCTGGGGCTGAGCGATGCACCTGGAAATGCAGGGATATTTAGCGTCTGTTTCTTAATGTCGGTCATTCGGAAAGCCTAAGACGTTAGCTCTTAACTTGAAAGGCGGTTAGAAACTTGGTGGTAAGCCATAGAGTGAACATTTATTAAAGAATGAATGAATGAAAGAGGAAATTAAAAAAGAAAACCCTATTGTTTTATGGAAATTAAAAACGTAAGAAAACCCTTTTTGTTTATGGAGCTGTACTGATATCTGATTTGACTGACAGCTGAGCGACTGGCGCCTTAACTTGTCATGGAGAAACCGGCAATTCCTGCAGATTCCTCCTGGTTGAACTCCAAACCCACCTTTTCCGTGAGAGATCCCGTTGTGTAGCCGCGTCGCATTGCGCCGGCCAGCATTTTGGCCGTGCCAAATAACCGGAAAGCCATGACTCCGCCGGATTTTTGCAGCTTTTCGCTAGGTTATTACCCAACGATCTGATTGGAACAGCTGCTCCACACCTCTCACGTTGATACAATTTTGGTCGGGAATCAGGCTTTCTCAAACTAGAAGCCAAAGTCGCCTCCTCGCACACCGTGTCTCGTTTTGGAATTTTTCCGAATATTTCGGTCGAGTAAATGTGTGAAAACCGTATTATTATTACGCGGTGAGGGATTGTGAAATAGAGCTGCCAGAACGTCGATGATAGGCTATCGATACTGCAGGAACGCTATCGATACAATCAGAAGTTCTATCGATTTTCATTATTTTCATTAGATACTTAAAACTAAACAAATTAAAAAACTATTCTCTCAAACAATTATAGAAAATCAAATAGTACTGCACTCATATTACCTTCAATTCACAATAATTTATTTTTCCATCGACAGAGCTGTAGAAAATCTGTACAACAATTTTAGTGTCATTAGTTCTTACAATAAATATATAACACATAAAAGTATATTTTAAATTAATTTAAATGCTACTCGCCGCCCCGAACACTTTTCAACACTGAACTTTTGCTGCCGGTGCTCTCTTTGCTAGAGATGGACACAGCTGTCATTAAAAATGCAGTTTTGTTCACTTTAAATTTTGTTTGATTACGTTTTAATAATTTAAGTGTGACCAGTTGCTAAAAAGGCGAAAATCTTCTCATTATACGACGATTCTAGGCATTTTAAGTACCCGGTCACACTGCTCTACTCGTTGCGTTGTTGTCGTGTGGTAAAAAATTTGGTTGAAAAAAATCTTTAGGCTTCAAATAGGACAATTATTTAACTCGAAATCGGATTGAAAATATGATACAAATGTGCCGCAAACAGTGCTGTGATGATTGAATATGAAAAGTGACAGAAAAACAATGTTTTTAACGGCACAAAAACGTTTTTCTTGTTTGCCTGCTGCCCTGCCTGTACTTGCGTGTGTGTTAGTGTGTGCTCGAGGGGTACAAAAATTTGCAGCCCAAAAAAAAGTTGGATGAAAAACTTTTTTTTACCAACTTGGCACTTGGGTGAATGTATGCGTGTGTATGTGCGTACAGTCGGCTGCTAAATTTACGCAGAAAGCACAACAAAAATGTGTAAAAATAGTTTACAATTGCAATTGCGTGCGTGTGCATAGTGGCCGGAGGGAGTCTGTGTGTGTGTGCAATTTTTTCCGGCAGGCAAAAGTCTCTCCATTTGCAACACTGAAAAATCAATAAATGCAGCCAAAAGAAAAAACAGTAGATTTCACCATCCGAAAAGCCGAAAAGAAAATAATAAAAAAAATATATATAAAGAAACTGGAAAAAATTGAACTTTTTCGTCTAATCGTTTTCACTTTTCTCTTTTTTTCCGCAGCTTTTGTAACTAAAACTCCGTTTTGACATCACTTTCATCATAATCTGAATAAAAATAATAATAACATAAAAATACAAAACAAAAAAAAAATGAAATACAAATAAATAAATAAAACACCATCGAAAACGAATCAAAAAATAATACATACAAAATATATAAATCGCAAATAAATGAAAGTTACAGCAAAGAAAATCTAGATAAAGAAATCCAACAAAACAACAACATAGCTCAAAAGAAAGGCGAAAGGAAAACGCGAAAGATTCTCTGCCATCAACTTATTCTTCGTTGTTTTTCGGACTCTTATTCGTTTTCAGTTGTTTTGCTTTGCAAAGAAAACACACTAATAAATAATACGAAACCAGAAAGAAAAAAACAAAAGGCAAAAAACGAGAATTTTTACGCCGCCGCTTTCCAAGTGGACGTCCGTGGGTGTGAGCGAGACAGAACGGCATAGAGAGAGGGAGCCAGCTAGCCGGAGAGAGGGAGATAAAGCGACTGCGCAAATAAAATAAACAAGCCAAGCTTGAAACGAAGACTTTCAAATAAAAACAACAAAACCAACAACAACAACAAAAAACAAACCAAACAAATTGAAACGCTGTGAAATTAAAACTCGTCAATACTCAAAGCACCAACAAATAAATAAAGATAAAAAACGCGAAACCAACAACTACAAGGAGAAGGAGCAAGTAAAGCGGAGTTGATGTCAAAACAAAAACAAAACCATCAAGCAAACAACGGCAAGCACTGAGAGAAAACGGGAAATAAAACGGCGCTGCGGCGTTCGAAAAATCTCGAATATAAAACTGAAACAAAAATAAACAAAAAAATAAATAAAAAATTCAAAAAGCAAAAATCAATCCCAAAATTCCTCATTATTTTCCTGAAAGCTTTAATTTAATTACGAATTTTTTTGATAAGTCAAAGTGAATTCAATTTGCTAATTATTTAAAAATTAAGACAACAACAAAACTAAAAAAAAAAACAACCAATAAAAAGAAGCTACAAAAGCAGCAACAACAAGCAAACAAAACAACCAACCAACAACAAGCAACTGAATTAATGTTTTAAAGTACAAAATAACCGGGAGTAAATCAACAAACAAATAATTTAAACATATTAAAAAACGATTTAATTTAAAAACGCAACATCAATCTAAATTATTTAAACAAAAAAAACACTGATCTAGCCTCTAAGTGGAAAAACAAAACTAAAACTCTGTAAAACGGACCCAAAAACGGGGAAGTTGGAGAAGGAGTGAGGAGAACGGAGCAAAATAAAACCGATTAAGCAACAATTGTGCCGCAAAAAACCCGTGTGAATAGAAAAAATAAAAATAAAATAAAAAAACAAAAAATATATACTAAAATATTAACGGTAACAATAAAGAAAACATTTAAAACCAAAAATCTACAAGAATTCTATAAGTTTTAAGTCACGTTTTACACAGAACAACCGGAAACACAAAAGCGAAAAACCGAAACACCAGCAACTTAACTTAGCCAATAAAAAATAATACAAAATTCAAATAAATCAAGCAACCTTTTGTATTGTACATAAGTGAAAGAAATAAAGCCCAGCAATAGGAATAAAATAAGCAAATATATAAATTTAGAGAGAAAACTGCGGCCTTGCGGCCAAAGAACAGTTTTTATTTTTTACAACATAAACATTGTTTTTTAGTAGTTTTCAATTCAATTTTTTTTATAAGTGTACCTAGTGAGAAATGTTAAAAGTCTAAAAACTGCAAAAGCAACACTGCAACAAAAAGGGAAGTAAAAGAGACAGAAAGGAAAACAAAAACAAAACAAATTCAAAGAAAGATTTAACAACTCTGTGATAATTACTGTAAATTTATAAATTTAAATAAAAACGAAAAAAACGCAAAGAAAACCAACAAAAAAATCTCTAAATGGAATGAACGGATAAATGGTAATTTTTAAACAATAGAAGGGAAACCCGAAGGAGAACGAGGAGAGGAAAGCTAAGAACATCTTAAAAACCAACAACAAACAAACAACTTTACACTTAAGAGCAAATGCAAATGAAAAGATAAAAAAAACATTGAAACAAATTCGTGATATCTTAAAGGACTTCGATACATATATACTATAGTATATTATATATTATATTATATAAACTATTAAACTAAGCTTAAATCTAGTAAGCGAAACCGAAAACAAAAAAACAAAATCATGGAATAAGTGAATAAAAACAAAAAACAAACAACAACAACCAACCAACCAACACAAAGCAAAATTAAAACCCTAGGTTATAAAAAAGACTTCAAAACGCATTCAAAATATATATATATTTAACTAAAAACAAAAATAAATCGTAGGATTAAAGTTCAACATAGTAAATGAGAGGAGGATACACTCAGCATAACGGGTAAATCCTACTATATCTATTATATATATATATATGAAAACAAAAGCCGTAAAACTCATACTTTTTTGCTTAGTGAATAGTAAATGAAACAGCAATAATAACAGCAACCGAAAACAACAAACAAACAAAATATATACAAATCGTGCAACCGAAAAGTAATAGCAACGTACAGCGAAACTAAATAGGAAGGAAGGAAGGAAGGAATAATCGAGGAAAAGGCTAGTCCCGAGACGAACAAGGAGCGAAAGAGGACCAGGAGCTGGAGCAGGAGAAAGCCAGGAGAATCAAACCTCGTCATCGTCCCCCGTTAAAATCGTCGTTGTACTAAGGGTATTCGAAAGTAAATTATAAATAAATCACTACTACTTCCTAAAAACCACAACGATTGCCTACAAAATATATATTATATATATGTATACTATATAGAAAACAAAACAAACAAAAACAACCAATATAATCACTTCCCGAAAAGCAAAAACACACACACAAAATATTCAAATATCAAACGAAAGCTAATCTAACCCAAAAGTAAAAGTATTCCCAGTGTATTTTTCTAGTAAAACTAACGTAAAAATATATTACAAGAAAAACGTATAAAAAAACATACAAACTTCAACAAGCAAAATGCAATAATTCAATAATATTTCAAAACTCCAATTGCAAACAAATATATAAAAACAAAACCAACACCAACGGCAGCAGCTGGTATGCATTTTCATCGTAAAACAACAATATTTTGAATACACAAAACTATAATAAATTGAAAACCTACAAAACAGACCCAGGAAGGAACTTCAAACTACCAAAACCAACCAACAACGTTACAATATTTGTCGGCATTTTTTACAAAACACACACACAACAAACAACAAGGAACACAACCAACCAACCAACAAACAAACAGAAGGAGGAAAGCTGAGGAAAGCAACAATTTTTTGTGTGGGACTCACATGTCCTCGACAAAAGACAAACATTTTTATTAACTTCGAAGACAAGGAATTTCAGTGCCTCTTGTGCCAGTGTTTAGCCAAAATATATATACACAAAAAACAAAACAAACAAAAAAAAAATAAGGAAGAAAACATTAAACAACAAAATACGTATTTATTGCTTAGTTTTTTTCTCTTTGATATAAAAAATACACAAAAAATTAAAAAAAAAGCAACTATAAGAAGAATACCCTTAAAAGTGAGTGAGGAGAGATCTACAATCTCTTTTTTTCGGTCAAACTTCAACTTTAACCCTCGTTCCAATATCGTTGTTCTCGTCATTCGCCTCCATTTATCGTGTTTTCGGGTTTAACTTTAACAAATATAAAAGCAAGGCATAAACAATAGCAGCAATCGCTAAACAAACCAGTCTCCAATTTGCTAGTCCTTATCAGCATTTCTCTTTGTTTCCTAATATATCTGATCAATCAATTCATCATGAATACGCAATCGAAGGTTTACCGCACCGGCGAAGGTGAGTAATCGTAGAAATAGGATCCCACTTTTGTATTTACTTTTAAAACATCATTAATGTTGTTTTTACCCTACACAAATTATAGTCCTTATCACTTCTAATCTTATAGCTGGTGCTTTTAAGTCATTTCCACTTCATTTTATTTTTTCGAATTCCTTACTCTGAGAAATCTAAATTTCTGTATTCTTCTATTACTTTATTCTGTAAATTGAACATATCTTTTAACCACCAAATAATTACACATTACATAGAATATATTAAAAACTTGTTGCTTATTTTTCTATTTTAAAGATCCAGATAGTATTTTATATTAAAGATTAATCACATTGATCACATTGATTTTGTTTATACTTAAGTAAGAAGTTTAAAAAGCCTTCTGCATTATAAGTGTGGTAATTTCGGTATTCTACTTAATGAAAATGGAACTCAACTTACTTTCTTTAAAATTACCTTTCTCTTGATTTGATGTCTCACAGGAATGTAAATAATTTCTGAATATAACTTCTAATACCATTTTCATTTCGCTTAAGATATTTAAGACAAGATATATACATCTTAAACTTTAATATAGACTTTAATTTATCAAGCTTTTACATCCGCAATAATTATGTTTCTCTCTTCTTGCAAAAATAATAATTCAGAGATCTACGACAACTTGCCATGCGATGGTAGTTATTTTAACATGAATGCCATTCGCAACCTCGGAATCCCCACTACTTTTCCTACAATCGGAACTTTTACGCTTGACTCCACCACATTGGGATTGCAGCCGCAGGGCCAGCAGCAGCAGCAGCAGCAGAGCATGCATCATCATCAACAGCAGCAGCAGCAGCAGCATCAACAGCAGCAACACCAGCAACATCAGCAGCATCAGCATATGCAGCAGCAGCAGCAGCAGCAGCAACATCAACAGCAGCAACATCATCAGCAACAGCAGCAGCAGCAGCAACAACAACAACAGCATCCCACCATTGGGATGTTTGATGCCAACGAGGTGAACGATGTGATCCAGAATCCGCCTCAGATCGGCGTTTTCCAATCCAATAGCGTGCTGACCAACGGGGCTGGAAGCTCTTCCTCTATCTTTGGCTCCCAGTCAAGCAACTCTTCGGCTGCCGCTGCCACGGATCCCAGTCAGGCTACCCGGGAAACTGGCATTATTGAGAAGTTGCTGGTGAGTTTCAGCAATAAAGCAAAGAAGGGAACTTTCACTTGACCCCGATTTCTATGTCTATTTTTTGCAGCACTCCTATGGGTTCATTCAGTGCTGCGAGCGACAAGCGCGTCTCTTCTTTCACTTCTCACAATTCAGCGGAAATATTGATCATCTAAAGATTGGGGATCCCGTGGAGTTTGAAATGACATATGATCGCCGTACCGGCAAGCCGATAGCTAGTCAAGTGTCCAAGATTGCCCCAGAGGTTGTACTATCCGAGGAGCGGGTCACCGGCACTGTGACCACCGAGCTGCGCACGGATAGCGCTAACAATGTGCTTAGCTCCAGCGAGACCACCGGTCGGATTAGCTATGAGAATCGAGGCGAATGCTTCTTTTTACCCTATACCAAAGACGATGTCGAGGGCAATGTTAACTTGCGGGCTGGCGACAAGGTCAGCTTTCAAATCGCAACGAACCAAAGGTAAGTCTTTCCTTACATACTTTAAAAATATAATATAAAAAAAATTAAAAAAGAAAAACAATTTGAAGTGTAAATGTAATCACCTAATCCATGCCTTATCCATCCCATTACAGAGGTAACCTGGGCGCCTGCCATATTCGCCTGGAAAACCCAGCCCAGCCGGTCAAGTATCGTGGTGTTGTTTGCTCAATGAAGGAATCTTTTGGCTTTATTGAACGCGCCGATGTGGTGAAAGAGATCTTTTTCCACTTCTCAGAGGCTGAGGGGAATGTGGAACTGCGTCCCGGTGACGATGTAGAGTTCACCATCCAGACACGAAGTGTAAGTGGCAGTGGCGATCCAGCCAATCCGCATCTCCTTCAATCGAAAATGCAGTCACCGTCGGTGCCGCCGCAGGGCCGTGAATTTGCGTGCAACATCACGCGCCTAGCACCGGGATCGGTGATTTTTGAGGACGTGGATAGCACTGTGTACAAGGGTCAGGTGCTCAAGTCGTTGGATCGCAACAATCCGGTGCGACAGAACAATGATCCGTTGCCGGGTCGCATTCGTTACAGGGCCTTGGATTACTCGGAGGTGGAGGTACCGTTCGGGGACAAGGATCAAAAGGGTGACTTCACCCTGCGTCACGGCGATTGGGTGCAGTTCCTGCTGGCCACCGATCGTCGTGATCAGCTGCAGCGGGCCACCTCGATTGCCCTGTTGGACGAGACCTTTAAGGTTTCGGGAGAGAAGCGGGAGCAGGGCACTATTGCCTCGCTCAAGGAGGGATTCGGCTTTCTCCGATGCGTGGAGCGTCAGCCACGACTCTTTTTCCACTTTACTGAAGTTCTCGATACGGTAAGAGTCAAGATTTCTTTTTTACAAATATTGAGTGAATCAAATAAATTAAAATTACAGAGCCGTGAAATCGATGTCAATGATGAGGTTGAATTCACTGTCATCCAGGAACCTGGATTGGTCTACAACAACTCACGTTTGCAGGCCATACGCATAAAGCATTTGCCGCCCAACTCTGTGCAATTCGAAACTCTAATGGCCAGCAACATTGAGGGTGAGTGCGAGCAGCTTTGAATCCGAAGCTGAATCTTAACTGAATCTCTTTGCAGGCTGCGTGACACGCGAGGCGCCCAAGAGCCCAATCAAATCTCAAGATCGCGTCGAGGGCGGTGTGATTACCTATGAGCATGCCGATGCTAAAAAGACTATAATGTATTTTCTTAAAGACTGTGAAAAACCACCAAGGATTGGGGAGCGTGTACGCTTCGATATTTACATAGTAAGTTTCATGAACAATTTCGCTGAGCTTTTCTAACTATTGTTTCATCTTCGCCAGGTCAAACGTAACAAGGAGTGTATTGCCGTTAATGTGCAACAAATTTCGATGCAGCAACAGCAGCAGCAACAACAACAACAGCAGCAGCAGCAGCAACAGCTGTTGAATCAACCGAATGCCAGTGGTAACATAAACCAAAACGAGCAGCTGTCGAATGGAATCAGCGGCAGCAGCTCCAACGCCTCGCTGCAGAATGGCTATGTGATGCACGGCAGCCCCGGTGGCAGCACCAGCAGCAGCGTGGGCAGCAACAATCCATCCCATTTGGACGATTTCAAGCTGGAGAACAATAACCATGCCGGATCCGAGAACGGCCAGGTTTACCGTGGCTTTATAGCCGTTATGAAGGAGAACTTTGGATTCATCGAGACCCTGTTGCACGACGAGGAGGTCTTCTTTCACTTTAGCAACTATCAGGGCAATCCCAATTGGTTGGAGCTTGGCCAAGAGGTGGAGTACACTCTTGCCCGGAATGGAAATACATCTGTTTCGGGTAATTGCCTGCCCGCGGAGAATGTCCGTATGCTGCCCAAGAACTCTATACCGCAGCCAGCGGTCCTGGAAACAGTGCACAATGGCGTGGTGGCGCGTCCACTACGTTGCATCAATCCCGACCAGCAGGAGTATGCCGGTCTTATCGAAATACTCGATGAACAGCGCACCACCGTCATCTCGCAGCACGAATTCGGAATCACTAGTCTGGTGAACAAGCGAGATCTCCTCCAAAAGGGTGATCTGGTTAGTTTCCGTATCGATGAGAGTGGACGGGCGGCCGGAGTGAATGCAGTGCGTCAGAAGAAGCGCGCCACCGTGGACTCGATCAAGGGCCAGTTTGGATTCCTCAACTTTGAGGTGGAGGACGGCAAGAAGTTATTCTTCCACATGTCTGAGGTGCAGGGTAACACCGTTGCCTTACATCCCGGCGATACTGTAGAGTTCTCCGTGGTTACCAATCAGGTGAGTTGTATGTTTGGATCTATACTTACCATCGACCAACTCTTGCGTTATTAATTTATCAAAAGATATCCGAAAAAAGTTTGTCTTGTTACTTCATTATTTCTTCGATAATATTTGGCACAATACGATTTATAAAACAGAATATTGATTTATATATCGACATTCGCATCAAATTCTTTTATTAAAATGTGTTTTTCTCTCAGCGTAATGGAAAGTCTTCGGCTTGCAATGTTCTGAAAATAAACGATCGTCCTGATCGTCTGATCTCGCGTCTCAAGCTCAACGGCGATGACACTGTGCCGCGCCTAATACTCATTCGCGCACCCAAGGGACCGCAGGGCAAGGGCTTCTCCGTGCTAGCTCGGCACCCACGCATTCCAGGTAACCATAAATATACCGATTTAAGCAAAATGTTGTACTTATGAGCAATTTTATTGATTTGGCAGGAACCTTGGTGGAGTAGATTGCTGAAAAATGATAAATGTTGGATATTAGAGGCACATCAAAGACAATTACCTACAGCTACAGCTATAAATTTAAATATATATTCTTGTACGCGAGCCATTAAATAGCGAGCAGGCCAAGCAAACCAATCAACCAACTAACACAGCAATCCAAGCAACATTTATAACGAATATAAACCCTAGAAGCATGCAACACACTATTCGAAAAGATCGTAATTGATAATAGGAAGAAGACGTACATTTAATAATTACAAAACTACTTATCGGCAACAAGGAGAACTCTTCATGTCTGATGGAACGGAAACTTATTTGTAATACTACCAACTAACTCTAGCCCCTCCAAGCATTGTAAGGCTTTGCTTTCTTTGCGAATGGAAATTGAAATTCAAGTGTCTGAGAGATGGATGAAACCAAAACGTTTGTATACGTATACTATTTTCTACTAGTTTTGCTTTAGTTAATATGAGAATGAACAACAAAGAAAGCAAGCAAACATGATATAATCTATGTAAAGTGAAGTAATTATTCTAGAATGGCAACGAAGAATCCTTGTTAGAAATTGTATAAAAAAATAACAACTCTTTACATACATCTATCTATTAGCTGGGATATGCAGTTCCTGCTTCTCTACTCTGTAACTTGCTCTAGACTCGTGCTCGTGTTTTCTTTTTGTACTTCTCGAAAACTGTTCTTTCACTGCTTTCAATCTTAACTGTTAACGATTTATACATATATATATATATTTATTGAATAATTATTGTACTGCGGCAGCCAAGAATTAAGTAGAACCACAAACAGCAGCAGCAGAAACCCAGAAACCAATCAGTGGAGCGAACGAAGAACATGAAAAGTATTTATATGGCAAAACAAAAAGTCTAATTTGTATACATGCATATATATATATATATAGATATATACATATATATCTTCACACGTAAATGCATATATATATATTTTACATATTCATTAACGTAACATACATAATATTAATGTTATTATTTTGTTAAATTTTTTTGAAACATTGCTTGCAAACCAAAAAACCATACGACGTTGTTTCGCCAAAAAACACTTCTTTTGTTGCATTCAGACGGTTGCATTAACTTATTACGTAACATATTATATACAAAACATACAAGCTATACATCGTAAAATATTTATTTAAAACTCACCACAAGAAACCCGAACCGAGGAGATATGGAAAAATTACGAAAACGTTTTGTGTGACGATGAAGAGCAAATTAAATTTGCTGCGCCAAATCTGTTGAAACCATTTAATGAAGATTATAAAAATAATTTTTAAAAAATCTATATATACGAGACAAAAAGCTAAAAAAATAATAATTAAAAAAAAAACTAATATATAAAAACAAAAACCAAACCTTATGAGCGTGTCGTGTGTCGGTAACAAAGAGCAAATATTGTGAAAATTATGAATTTCAATTACTAAGAAAACAAAAACTAATGTAACAAGAAAAAAAAAAGAACAAAAAACTACAAAAAAAACAAAAACACAAAATACATTTAACAAGCTAACAACAAATTTGGGATCAGTACGTCCTATTATAGCCATGTTATATACAACAACTAAAACAGCAGAAACATCAACATCAAGAACCTACACTAAGCAACACACAAGACACTTGCAGACAACCAGAAAAAAAGAAAACAAGAAAGCAAAAACAAAAACAAAACCAGAACAAAGAGCAAGAGAAAATAGTAACTTTAATATTGTATAACGATTATACATCTAAATAAATCTAGATATATGCAGGGGCGGGTTCAAGGGGTAACCGAGGTTGACACACAGTCGTCGTTAGAGAAATGCCAAACGCCATCGCAGCAGCAGCCGCATCCCAAAACCATTCGCAGAACGGCGGCCGGGCGTTTCGTCTCTTCAATGCAATGCAATGAAATGAGAACAGCACAGTAACTAAAATCCTTATAACGAAAAACCAACAACAACAAAAAAAAAAACACAACATAAAAAACATTTCAAACAAAACTACAAACAAAAAAATCGAAAAACTCCACAAAAATGTAACAAAACAACAAAAAATATATTTAAAAAAATACAAGAAAAATACATACATACATATGTGCTTGAATACGAAAAAAAAAAATCGCAAACTATATAAGTCAAATAATAATACAACAAGAACAGAATAAATAATAAATACATATTTCAATAAACTAAAAAGAAACGTTGTTTTCAATTATCGTTATACATTTATGTTGATTGGAACTCAAAGATAAGAAAGAGTTTTTGAAGAATAAGAATTCATTCCATTCGTTAGATTTTTAATTGGGAAGTTATTTTAGATTATTTCTATAATCAATATTTTTTGTATTGTGTTGTACCGAATATGAAGATGGAAGCTTAGCTTACACATTTTGTAAATATCACCGTTTTTTTTTATAAAATCATTAATACGCGATGGACTTAGGGATGTATATTAGGGGAAATCTGAAATATGATATGTATATCGAAACTATCCTACAGTTTGATATATCAAAATTGTAAGCACCGAAAAATATCGCTCTGGCTGTTAAAGTATCGATTTCAAACTGAGCGTAATTTCTTCCATAAAATTCTCAAAAACTTTGTATATTTCAAGGAAAGGACTCTTACTGCTAAAGGAACCCTATAGGGGATAAAGCAATACGGATACATATATAGAAAAAGCAATCGTTAAGCCTTTTTAAATCCTCACTGAAATTCAGCACAGATTTTCCCACAAACCATTAAAATCTATAGACTTAAAGTTTGGTTTAATTTTTCGTTTTTATTTATAAGAATAATTTATATCTGCTTAGATTTGTTTGGTTACATGACATGACTATGGTATGGTATCATCGTTTGTTCACCGCCTCTCTCCTTAGACTCTCGTACGCATCCTAAAACTTGACAGTTTATTGACTTTATCCACTCTATAGATATATATCTATATATGTGTTTATGCTGGGAGTTACAATTGGATTCGTTTTCCGTTTGTTCTTATGCTGAATGCTGCTCTGTCTTAAAATTCAAAATCCTTTGGTTTTATCGTTAATATATGTACTGCCTATACTCGTATGTGTTGTTGAGGTTATGTCAAATTACTTACGATTTAAACGCTTGCATTGATTTCTCGTTAGTGAATATATATTGCATTGATTTCGATTCGATTCGCACATTTATCTTTAATATATATATATATCGCCTAGGTATATATTTATATATATATATATATATATTTGTATACCACTTAGGTTTAGTAGATATATACGAGTTATGGCAAAAAATTGTTTGTGTTTGTTTGTTGTTTTTTTTTTTTTTTTTGCGTGGGACTAGAACATTTGACATTTGACTTTTAAGGAATTTAAAAACCAACCGATGGACCATCGATTGCCATATACATACATATATAAAGCCTGTAAAAAGGGATTCTCGTTAATACAAATTGAATTGTGATTATTTTTTTGTTGTGTGTGGGGAGATTATAATTGATTCGATTCGAACTTACAATTACAATTACAAAAAACGTTTCGAGCATTGTATAAAAAATCGAGGTAAACTTGATAGTGCATCGGATCTGGTTGGGTGTGTCCTTAGCTTGGGTTTGTCGTTATCCTTGCTCATATTTGGTGTTACGGGGGAAACTCAGGGTTCTGTGTTTTTTCTGGGGGGCGAACGCCGCCGCCGAAGGCATTTCATTTAATGGCTGTGTTCGATTCTGATTCTCCTACGATGGATTAGCATTTTGGATGAAATGAGGGACTACTTATAGGATGGGCACAAATGGGCGTGAGAGTAAACGAAAGCATCCTCGATCTAGCTGAGATACAATATATACTTATATAAACCAGATCTGACCTTGTCTTTTCTTGTTATCCTATACGAGAGAGAGAGAGAAAGAGAGAAAATTTGAATTTTGGGGTGGGCAAGTTTTTCCTTCCGGAACTGCGTATATACGAGCTATATTTCTTATAATTTTTTCTGGTTGCTCTTAATAGGAAGAAGTTAGATAGTCTTAATTTTAAGTGTACATAGCTATATTTGATATCCAAGGGGGTTGTGCTTAATTTTCGTAGTATCTTATAATTTTTTCTCATTTTTTTCGAACTGGGGGAAAACTTGAATTGCTTGTGCTGGCTACGCCAAGTAAGGGACTTCTTCTTAGGGCATTAATCATCTTCTCCTGGGGCTCATCGACTAACTTAGCGTAACTACGGGGCAGGTGTGCGTGTGTGTGTGGTGTGTGTAAGAGTTAGGTGCTCCTAAAGCGACGATTAATTTCCTTGATTTCAGAAAGAGTAATTTCTTTTTTCTTGTAATTTTTGGTTTTTCTTAGTTGAACCTTCTCTAACTCGATTTGAAATTTGTTTTTAGTAACATCGTTAAACGATTAAATTTTTACAATTTTGTATCCTCTTACTTTTGTAAGTATGTAAATAGAATTTTTAAAACTACTTTCATTAAACAAATTTCTGAAAATACTAAAATGACTCGTGTTTTGTTGAAGGAACTAAAACTTATGCTTCTATTACTTTAAAGGATTTAAAGGAATTACCTTTATGTATAAAATTTAATACTTTTATATATAACTTTTTTTTTGTTAATAAGAAATTTGTATTACCAATGGTTTATTTTAATGTTTTGACTAAGAAATTAAAACCTTTCTAGTTTACATTTAACTCATAAAAGAGTCTAATAAATCGAAAATACTTAGGGTAAAATCAAATATTTTCACCAAATCCAAAAGCTTATCCATTTTTGTCTTAAAATAACAATGCACACATAAAAATAAATAAATAAACTCTATGATATTCCATAAATAAAATTAAATAATTAATTTAACAATATTGTTTCGAGTTAGAGAAGTTCGTTTGCGTAGATTTTGGTTGCTTTTTGCTTTTTCCTCCCATCTAACAATCACTTCAGGCGCTGTTCTTGGAGACAAACTCGCGCAGGATGTCGCCGGCCATCTCGATGTTGTTCCGCGAGATCCCCAACGCGGTAATTGCATTCTCCTTGGAGTAGCCGGCATTCATCAGCCTGGCTATGTACTCCAGGTTTATGTTCTCGTAGGGCACATTGCCGCAGTCTTTTTGATTGATCGTCACGTTCGCATAGAGCAGTGGCTGCTGGGATTGCTGTGGCTGTTGCTGTTGCTGCTGAGGATTGCCTCCATTGCCCGTTATCGACCCCGTCTTAGTAGCCGGCGTTGTCGTCGTTGTGGTTTGGATTTGCTTGGCCGGCGTAGCCTTCTTCCCGTTGGCCAGAGCAGCAGCAGCAGCCACTGCTGCGGAGGCACCACCACTGCTGGTGGTGCACAGCTGCGTGTAGTGCGAGGTGGCCGAATCCTGTCGGCTCAGGGTGACACCTCGCGCCTCCAGGGGGCGGGTATCGATCACACCGCTAATTGTTTCCGCCGGACCCACCTCCACAATGTCCTCATCGAGCAGGGAGAGCACCGGCGATGTGGTACTGGTGGCTATGCGCTGCTGTCGCATCAGATCCTCGGCCAAGGTGTCCACGCTGGGCGAGACATGTGGCGGAATCGGTGGCGCTGTCGTCTGGGGTGGCACATTGTCCAAGCTGCACTGAATGTTGTCGATGCTCTTGCTGCTGCTAGGCGGCGGTGGCGGCGGTGCTGTGGCCTTGCTGGGCGTCTCCACGCCAGGTGATGATTTCCTGGGCGGCAGCGGAGGAGCCACTGCTCCCGATGCTGACGCTGCTGCCGTCGCAGACCCTCCTGCTCCAGCTGCCTGCGTTCCACTCTCCTGCAGGTTCTGCAATATGGCATATGAGCTTGAGCTGGAGGCATTGTCGCTGGCGTTGCTGGTGATGCTGCTGGAGTTTTGCGGCAATTTATGACCGTAGGTGGAATTGGTCACACAGGATCCGATTAGGGGAGCACTCATCCGATTGGTGGTCTTCTGGCTGGCGCTGATCCCGCTTCCCCCTGCTCCAGATCCTCCTCCTCCTCCGTTGCTCAGGACAGCTGAAGCTGGAGGAGCCGAGGGCTGTGGTTGCTGTTGCTGCTGGGAGGAGGATGTGGTTGCTGCTGCTGCTGCTGCTGAAGTGGAGGAGGAGGAGGAGGACGACGTCGAGGATGAAGATGAGGCGGCGGCAACAGAACTGCTGGGCAGGCTGAGAGTTGGTGTCCCGCCCGCATAGAGATCGTTCTGCACGGCCATCAAGCTGGGCGTGGTGCTCCGTCGTCCCAATCGCGGCGATGTGTGCGGACTATGCTTCTCGGCCGCCGCCGTCGCCGTTGAAGATGTGCTGAGTGCGTGCAGCGATGAGGTGGCAATGTTGAAGTCGCCCATATCCTAAACATATCCAGAAACAAAGATCAGATTAATGCTTGCTCTCCTCACAGTTCAATTGGAGCTCAGGTATGGAATCTCGCAAGATTTACATATAGAAAGGGGAATATATAAAGTATTAAGAGAAATATTAAGAAATAACAGGAATACAAAACATATTAAATGTTTGAAAAAATATTCAGAAACTAGTTATTCGAAATTTTAGTTTTAATTACAATCAGATCATATGAAGATACAATTTTAAATAAATGATATACTGAATTAAAATTTTAGAAAATAGTTCGATACATTCAAATTATAGATTATTATAGCAAAAATTGTATATAGATTTTGATCGTTGAAACAAATGAATTTAATTAAAACATAAAAAATAAAAAAGATATATTGTTCCACCTTAGCACGATTTCAACCGAACTTTTGTAAAATGAAAACCTTAAGCAAAATAATGATTTATCTCGATTTTTTGCTGATCAAAGAGCATGCCGCTGGCTTTTGGTGGAAATGCTGGACATGCACATCATCAAACAGAAAATCTCAGGGAAAATAAGAACAGGTCGCTAGTGGTAGATAAACAGAGCTAAATAAAGATGGGGAAAACATAAATAAGATCAATTCAAACCAATATTTAAATATTCGTATTAAGCATATATTTTGTTTTGTTTCATTTTTTTGTTTTTGTGGTTGTGTGTTGTTTTGTTTCGTTTTTTTTAGCCGTAAACTTATTAAGGAAGTAAAAAACTAAACACTAAAATGTATAAAAATTGCATTAAATGTATTAAATATATATATAAATATATCATTAACGTATGTGTGTATGTATGCGCTCTGCTTTAGTATTATGTTTAAGTTAACGAAATGAGCCGAAAGATGAGTTTTCGATTTCTAAATTTCTCTGCTAATACTTTTCGTTTATATATTTATATTTTCTTGATTTTTAAATAATAAATTCGGGACCCCGCACTGGAAATCCAATTTAATTTACATAAAATCTAACTAAGCTAACCTTTTTGTTTACTTTTCATTCATTTTTTTGTTGTTAATAATAATAAATTACAGTCTTAGGGCAGCTCTCCGGCTGCTTACACATAAAAATAAAACTGAATTGATGGGGGTCGGGAGGGGGAAGGTATATGCACGCTACTACAAACTAAATGTATCTTTGGAAGTATTAAACAATAAAACTAAAATGAAATAAACACATAACGGAGTTAAATGAATGTAAGACCATGATTCTAAAAGATGCACAAAATTCTGCGGGATACACGGAAGAAAATGAAGGGGAAAATACAAGAGATAATACAGATAATCATAAATTCCATAGTGCCTAGTGCCTAGTAGTATTATGTACAAAAGTGCAGACAAGAGCGGATCGAACCGATTAAGTGTGATTCATAAACGAACGAACAAACGAACGGATGGATGGCGAGGAGTGATCGATAGAGAAAGAGTGAGAGCGTGAGAGAGGAAGAACAAACAACTAAGCGAACAACGCGCACACAGAACAAACCAACAGACCAGCAGCAGAGGAAGAGTGAGCAAGAACGGAGGCTGATGAGCCACTTCCGGTCAAAGAATTTCAACTACGTTATGCTTGTGTATGTGAGTGTGTGTGTGCGAGTGGATGTGAGTGTGCCGTGTGTGTGTGCGTGAGTTAGTTGCATGAGTTTGGCTAATAATTTGTAATATATGTTACAGCTAAAACAAACAAAAACTAAACTCGAAAACTGCAACTGCCAACTCTGCAGGCTAAACATTAAACTTATATAAACAATAGCAGTTGTAAATTCTAAAATATATAATGTATATATATATATAAACGAACCAAGGGTAATCATAAGAGTAATATATATATATATATAAATAGATAGCAGCACAGGCGGCAGCGGAGCAGGCGGATCAGGCTGTGAACAAAACTATACCTCAGTGTCGTCGTCGTCCAGTTGCTGCTGCTGTCGCCCATTGGTGACATTCCGGTTGTGCTGCTTGCGGGGATCAAAGGCGTCCACAACGATCTGTTCGGTGCCCTTGATCTCGGCCCGGCAAAAGGGACAGCCCTGCAGGAAAACAAAATGGGATTAAACTGAGCACAGCGACTCTTTATAAGGCTCATAAGCTTACTTGTCCCTCGGAATCCACCTGCCAGGAGGTGAGGCAGGGCGTGCACAGCAAATGGCCGCAGGGCTCAATGCGAATATCCTTGTCGTTCTCCGCACAGATCTTGCACAGCTGGAAGGTGCTGCCTGCAAGGCCCCAAAAAGCAAACAGTAATTAGAAACTTGAGCGACGAATAAGAGTACCTCACACTCACCCATTTCACAGTATAGTTCGTATTGCTCTTGGGTTACGGTTATGTGGTCCTCGGTGGGACTTTGAACGGCCGACGAAAGATCCGGATTATAGGCTTGGCCATCTGGATACAAGTAAAAGCCCTCGCTGCAATAGAGAAAGCGTTTTATAATCACAAGCAATATATAGAACATTAGCCTATCTTACCGGTGGCCATCGAGCAGAGCCTGGCATAGGGATTTGTTCTGTGGAATCGTCTGCAGTATTTCACCCTCGGCAGTCACATAGCCTATGGCCCACTGGCCCAATCTTGTGCAGGAGAGCCGAAATACATAGCTGCCCGCCTTGCCGATGTAACGCTGCAGGCGCGCCTTCACCTCGTCGTATGTGAGGAAGGCCACATAGCCCGGATGGGTGACGGCCAGGATTTGCCAGTTGCGCAACAGCGTTACCCAGGGCTGGAAGAGTCGTGTGAACACGTCAAATTCGAAATTCGAGATGAAATCGTTGCAGGTTAGATCGATGGTGGTCTTCAAGGCCATTGCCTCCAAGCCCGAGGATATCGGGTGGACTTTGTTGAGTTCCTGCCGGAAGATCTTCCACGGAACCAATGTGCTGCAATGTATACAGGAAAGCAGGTGTAAATAAATTATAATTATATCTTATTTTAAGTGTATCTTACAAGAAACAATTAAAATATACAATTAATTATCAAAGCATTAGCTAGTTTTCGGTAAGTTTTAATACAAATTTTAAATAAATCCAAGATGAATACTTTCTTAATGTGTAAATGTTGTAAATAAAAGACTATATTAGCTCCATGACTAAATTTAATTTAAGAAGCTATGATCAGAAATTTCATTCCCGAAATTAACAATTAACTGGGTCAATAATAACTTGTTTATGCCGACAAAAACTGGTTTCTGGGGCTCTGAGAAAGAAATGTTGTAAAAGAGGAATGTTTCAAGAACTTCAAACTTCTTAAAGTTATCCAAGATTTTGTTGTTTAAAAATTTATATTTGGAACAAAGAAATTATATAAATATACCGACTTTCTGAATATCTTGTTAGGTTCATCGTTCACTATAAATGAAACTTTTTGAGCTTGTATATAAAATGATACTTTCCAGTATAATAACTAGAATTTTTAAGTTGTATTTTCAAATTTAAGAACTAGTATAAGTAGTTTAGGTATTTATCGAATGTCTAGCATTACTTTCCAAACCCTTGTTATAAGGAATTTTTTATGAAAATGAGTAACATTCAATTTAAATTTATAATTAAAGTACAAATAAATCATCTACGAATATGTAAGGAACGATATAGCCACCATGATACTGATTTTAGGACTATATAATATTATTTCTTGTCCTTAAAATTAAGGAAGTTTTATTAAGTAACATTGTTAAGAGCACTGGCACGTCCCTGATTGGCTTTGGCATTTGTCTTTGGTTTGTTTTTTACTTGCATCACGGTTAAAACTTTATAACAACGCTTCAAACCAATTATAAACATTAATAAAAGATTTTTAGAAGACGCACAAATGATTCAACAAAACAATTATACAAAAGTGTTTAGAAGTTTCAACATGTAAACAGGATTCTGAAGGGTTTCCGGTCTCCCAGTTATGTATGCATTGCCACTTTATCTTTCCTAATAAGTCTAGAGAACTTCCTGCTGATCTTGCTCCTCCTTCTCCTCCTGCTCACCTGTTACCAAAGTTGCTCTTCCAGAAGTCGGCCGCATCCGCCTTTGTAATCCGGAATTGATCGCCGGCAAAGACACCGTTCGGGAAGATGGCCTTCAGCTCGCTGAGCATGTGCGAGAAGACCAGGCTGAGCTTGGTGAGATTGCGACGGTAGTGGGAGTTCTCGTCGAACATCTTCTCCTTGCCCTCCTTGAAGAGCTTGATGGCCTGCTTGCACTTGCGCATCAGATTGTTGATGAACACGTTGAAGTGCTCGTTGGCGTGGAGCAGGTGCATCTGGTCCTCGTTCTTTGAGTAGATCAACCGCAGCCGCTGGTACGTGTCCGGCAGGATGTCCAGTATGAACGGCGGCGAGTTCTTCAGATTCATTTTGGGCTGCTGGCACAGCTTGACCACCTTGTCCATCAGCTTCCACGTCTTCTCCAGCGTCTTCTTGTCGGTGGACAGGCGCTGGGAGACGCACGCCTCCGAGATGGCGCCGTGCAGCTTGGAAAACAGCGAGGGGAAAATCTTTGGCTGCGATTGCACACGAGTCCCAGTGCCTCTCGTCGCCATCTTTTCTCTCTGCCGCTGCGCTGCCCCTCTGCCTCTGCCGCTGCTGCCTCTGCTTCTCGCTGCTGCTGGTGTTGTTGTTGTTGCTCCCTCTGCGTAGTAGTAGTGGTGATTGTGGGCCCTGCGAGTTATTTTCCTCTAGCCCGATTTCCCCCGCGTTCGCGACATGTAATCCCGTTGGCTAGCGTAATCCGCAACTACCCGAAATCATAACTATTTGCGACCCGTTGCTCCGACTGCGTGGTTGGCGACGTTCTTTTTTTATTTAACCCACACAGTATTTTCGACTTTTTCAATGAGTTAGAGGTGCGCAAAACATAAAATATCGATGCATCGATGTTTTTCGAATTTTCTAAATCATCGATGCTTTTTGGCCCATCGATATTTCTGACCCGTCACAATCAAGAGGAAAAGCAAAGCACCGCAAAAATTTATAAATATATAAAATTTATAAAGATTTATAAATTTTTGAACTTTATTTTATAAAATAATAAAACTGGACCAATTTTATTTGACCGCTGGATGCACCTTAACCCTGACACTACTGTTTATCAATAAAAATCAAAATTTTTGTAATAATGTTTAAAACCTCATTAAGAAGTGATCTCTGTTATCAGTTTTCTAATTTTATTTTATGGTGCCAAGTGAATAAATATTTAGTTTTTTATTTTTAATACAACACTAAGTGTGATTTTCAATAATTAAAAAGAATTATATATAATATATGTTTCATGTTTCAATTAATGAGTTAGTGTTGAGTAGAGCTGCAACTATCGGTAGCTATCGATGTTTCTACAAAAAAATCTGGAAGCGATAAATCATGGCATTGGCGTTGCCAGACGGGGTCTTGGAATAGAATAGCCATTAAAATGTTAAGTTGCCAGAAATGGTAAAATGATTGTGACGTCATTAGTGACCAGATTTAAAAGCTGTTACAAAATGACGGTTTTATTTCAAAATGTAAATGTGACAAATATCTTTTTAATCCCTTCTTTGCTTAAAACGTGTAAATGGTTAGGATTTATTTTACTCTGAGCCTCTTAAGAGTACATTTTTTTTTTGAAATCATAAAAATAAATATTTTTATTTAGCCATTTTTAACAATAATAAAAAAGTAAAAACAGAAAAAGTTCTAAAGAAACTTGATCTCATTTATATGAGCTAAAAAGGAAATTGATCTGGGTGTAAACTGTAAATACTAACTGCTTGCATTTACAGTTAACACCCATAGCAATTTCATTTTCTTTTAATATGTCATCTCGTAAACGCCGAGAATATAACTCTCACCCCGGCCATATAATTTCCGCCATTTATCGCTGCATCCGAGAGAGGCATTGCATTTATATAATACTCGCGCAAGGCTGACAAGGCGGCCTCTTGGCCAAGAGCTATGATTAGAGATGGAAGGAAAAGCGGCGGAAAACTGGCAGAACAGGTGCGTGGCTCTCTTGCCTTCTATCGTTTATTATGGCCATCTTTTCGCACACGGTTGTTTCTATTTTTTTGCTTTTATTTTTTTAATATGCACTGCCACTGCAGCCGCAATTTTCACTTTCCATTTTTATTGGCAACCCAACACAACCGCTGGCGGACGGCGTCAAATATTTGGCCAAAAAAGAAATTGCACGGCTGCCAAAAGGTTTTTACGTCTCCGTGCCGCACACAGGCTTTCTTTTAATTAAAATTTGGTTTGTCGGTTTTCTGTTTTCAGTTTTCAGCCTTTGCCATCTGCATTTTTTTTATTTTTTTTTATTTTCGGGATCTGCAAGTTGTCGTGTTCGGGGTATTAGTTCTGGGCGCGCTGGCGCTTAAAGCCGAGTCACGCCTGTCATATGCAGTTTGTTTGTTTTTTGTATTTTTTGAGCCTGACTTTTAGAGCTTGGCTCTCTCTGATCTGCCCAAAAAGCTAACTGTAAACATTCACTTACTGACCTCTTTTTTCGGCGGCAACTTCCACTTCCACCTCCACTCAATTTTCTTTAATGCACGCGACTCCGTCGCCGCCAATGATCAGCTTCTACATCATCCTCCCGCTCCGCGAACAGTGGTCGATTTTATGGTAAAAAGGGGGGACAAAATTGGCCCTCATGGAAAACGTGCATAAAATATATAGGTTCTTAACTAAATGTTGTATATATTGATTCTTGATCATATCCCTATAGGCATGACACAAACTCAAGGGGAATGTGTAAACAATTTTGTCATTGGTGGAGAGCTATCAATCAAACAAACATTAGTACTTTTCTTCAGAGAAAATTGTATAAAATTTTAATATCTTGAGCTTCAACAGTATTTACTTATTGAAAATCAAAAAATAAAATCTATATATATCTATATCTATTTATTTGCTGATTATCGGTCTTCAACAACGTCATATAAACAAGGGCTGGACAAATTATGTGAACTGTAAACAAAACAAAAACATATTTAGAGGGCAAACTATAAGGGAAATTTGTTAGCTTTAATAAGCAAACAATTTTGTGAGATGCGTTAAATACCTTACAAGCCCCTCTAACAGTCTACTATTTGGTCTTTATTTATACAGCTTTCTTAAATAGTGATCAATTTAAATTTGTTTCATATAAATTTTCTTTTTAATGTAAATAAACTATAATAAGATAATTTCAATTCCTTTTTTTTACTTAACAAACCACTGTGCGCCGTGAGAGTGTGCTCGGTGGTTGTGTGTGCGCTTTCTGGAGATCGTGTGTGTATGAGTGTATGACCCTTATTCGCAACTGCCGCTGAGGCGTAAAATTTATGGCTTTAGAGTCTACAAGTCTATAAACACAGCTTCCAGGCTGCACTTTCTACTGCAACTGAAATGCAACTGCCAATGGAACGAACCACCACCACCACCACCATCGCTGAAACCGAACCGAACCGTGCATCGTCCGTAGATCGCCCGAATCGTGGATATTGGATATTGGTTATTGAGTATTGGATAGAGGATGGGATCGAGTGTGTGCGTTATAATTTCAAATGCTGCTCGCCTTTTTGGTTGCATTTTGCTGCCACTTTTGGCAAATTAAATTTGTACACAAAACCGATTAGGCCCGGCAGACATGACCAAGTTGTTATTTTAAATACCGACAACTCCATTTAATCAATATGCCCAGAGGCAGGCAATATTCCACTCAAAATAAAATTATTGATCCTGGTCTAACAACTGAAAATAAACTGCACATTTGGAGAAAGGTCTGCCCTTTTTTGTCTATCCTCAGTCTCAAAGTTAGTTGGATAAGGATATCCTGTATATAAATACTCTACTAGTAGACTTAAAAAATATTTAATTTGAAATTTATATTCTGGATGAAAAATTGTATTTATTACTTCACTAAAGAATTGCAAAATAGCTGATACTCTTGAAATACATTTTAAGATGTTGTATCTTTAAATAAGGATCACTTTTGGTAACCAAAGTATTGTATTTTCATAGAATTTATGCAATATTCCTATATACTTCTATTATATATCTAAACTTTAATGAAAATAGTTTCTTTATATTGGCTACATTGTTTTAAAGCTTTGAAAAGATAATTATATTTCACAATCATAATTTTAGAAATCTAACCCTTTTTTAGAGACATTTAGAGACATAAATTTTCCTCTTATTATTGTACTATGATTCCTCAATAAATCAATAAAAATACCCTTAATTTAATTCAAGGATATATTTACCTCCTCTCTGTTTTACCAATTATTTATTATTTATTATTTGTACACTGCCTACTTAATTATAAAGCTTCAGGATAAGCATCAGTCATAATTGCTGTGGCTTTCGGTTTTTAACACTTATTTAATCATATCTTTCTACTATGACCTGCGGTTTTTTTCGAGTGTAGTCTGCGCCTTAGCTTCGCGCCAGCTGCTGGATGCTCTGCTCTGCCGGCGCCGACTGCGCTGCCTTTCACTCATATAAATTTGTTGGCATTGCAAATTCGGTGCCATTCGTCGGCGCATTGTCAAACCTTTCTCTTCGTCCCAATTGGAGCTTAGCTTGCAGAGATTTCTGGGCACAAACCGTCGCGTCGGGGGAAATACGAAAAGCAGAAGCAACAGCAGCAGCAGTAGCAGCGACAGCGTCCAGCGGAGACAACAATAAAAGCCTATAATTTTATGAATGTACATTGTACAAATCGGATGCTAGCGAACGTGTGTGTGCCTGTGAGTGCGTCGGTCAGTTTGAGTGTGTATTTGTGTGTTCATTCATTGAAAACGCGGCGGCAAGAACAACAATAAATAAAAAATGCAATCGCCGCAGTCGCAGTCAACGTAAACAGAAGCAGCAGCAGCAGTAGCAGCCGCAGCAGAGGCAGAAAACAGTAGCAGCATCCAAAAGAGAGATCATTTCATATGCGAATCGAAACTCGAAGAGCGCGCATCAAAGTCAAATTCAAACGAAGGAAGAACGAAGAAGAAGAAGCTGCAAAAGAAAGAAGAATTGTTTTGTGTGGACAATAAAAGGCCGTAGTACCGCAGCGACCAGAACGTAATTGAAATCAAATTACAGGCGGGCAAAAATAATAAGAACAAAAAAAGAGAAGCTAACGCAAAAGAAGCGATAAAAAAGAAATTATGCCCCATTGTGCGATTGTGTGAAAAGGTCAAGTGCCCAGAAGGCGCATACGAGAGTTAGGCGAAGCAGGAGGAGCAGGCGGCAGCAGGAGCTTCCAGAGAGTAGAAGTGGCAGCCGTTACATTTCGGTTAATAGGCAAGACGCAAGCTCACACGACGAATGAACTCATAAAAGGGCCCGGCAGAGCGAGCGAGACAAGAACATCAAAGCACTAAAAGAAGCAGTGGCAAAAGAAGAAGAAGAGCAGGCCAAGCCCAAATGACCGCAAGAATACCGTTAATTCGAATAGCTTCTGCGGTAATCTTGCACCAGTTACGATCGTTTATTTAGTCTTCGCGCTCTTCTTCGAGAGCGAGAGCTAGAGCGGAAGAGAGTCGAAGAGAGCGGGGGAAACTTTCTTCTTTCCTCGCGCGCGCACATACAATACATACAGACAAAGCAGTGAACTTCAGCCGCGCCGCCCAAGTTTGCTACTATTTCAATTGTTAACGAGCGAAAGCGCCGCCGTCACGCACAACAACAGCAATAGCAGCATCTACAGCTAAATAGCAGGAAAGTGCAGCAGACAGTGAAAATGTACCAATCGCAGCAGCAGCCGGAGTCCCCCGCCCAAACCCATGCGCAGGCGCTAGCCCAGAGATTTGGCCAGCCTCAAAGCCAGGCCAAGATCAAGAGTGGCAACCACAGCCACAGACTCCACAGCAAGCGCCAGCTGTTTGGCGCACTGCTGGCCGTCTTTATGTTGGCGGCGGCGTCAACCACTAATGGTAAGTCAAACATGTATGTAAGCTCCACTGCACTGTACACGGCAAAAAAAATATGTAAGAAATTAAAAATAAGAAGATGGATTACTTTGGAAACTTGGCTACATAACAGGTTTGAGGATGAAAATTTCACATCTGTAGAAAGTGTATCAAAAAGTATGCAATGAAATATTTTTGGTCCTTATTTTAAGAACATGTAACATTTTGTAGCTTTTGCAAGGACTTCAAAAAACTATTAACATTTAAATAATGGAAGCAATAAAAGGGTTTCAAAATGCTTCATATATCCTAAAAAACTCAAACAAATTTGAAACAGAATTTTACTATAAAACAAAGTTATAATTTGTACAGGAAGCTATGTATGCTTAATATTAAATGAATTTCTTGAAAATTAATAACTATTATTAAGCCATTTTCTAGTAACCCAAAAACTTCCTTAATAATAGAATTTCTAAAATGGGTAGTAATAAAATAAATTGATTTGAATTGAAAACAATTAAATACAAAATGGGTTTTTTGATTAAGAACAGCGCCACCTAAATTCATATACTATAAATAGAAGCAATTTAACAGAAGTTTAGACCAAAAAATATATCAATTTGATTTTTGTATTCCAAACCAATTTAAATAAATTAAGTTAATTTCCTTTTTATGTTCTTTTAAAGAAAATAGATCAAATGCAATAATCAATTAAAGGTTGACTAATAGAGTTAATTAATAATTAAAACCTTTTGAAAGATAAGTTCTTATATATATGGAATATATCACTATCCTATACTTCAAGTAATTGCCTAGCTCAAAATAATGTTGGTTTCTTAAGAGAATGGCCGAAAAATCATTGCTAATGGCTAGATCGTGAGCTTACCAACATAATTATCCCCTAATTTCTCTGGGTGTTGAAACGGAGAAGGTGACTCCGGGTCCGGATCTAAGACCTACAGCTGTGCGGTGGTAGAAAGGCCGTCGTTGGAGCTGCTATTAATTTCTAAGGTACTAATACTCTGCATAAAGTGAATGTAAACTGGCACACAAACACACACACACACAGGAGAGGGGTTCGCAGATCCCCCCTAGAAACCCCCCTTTGTGTGAAACTCTCTGACTTTACTCCTCGACGCACAACATGCTCGTAAATATTTTCGTGCACAATTTGTCCAACATTCAAATAAATTCATTAAAAGCACGAAGGGGAGACACAGAAGCCAGGGACGCTGGTTGGGGGGGGATACGTATGTATGGTGATAGTTCATGGGGAAATCAAACTGACCGCACAGTGGAAACCAGCTTCAAGTCGTGAAAAACTGAAGGGGGGATGGGAGCGAGCTCCTATATGTTGAATATATAGCAATGGATGCCTCGTTTAGCTATGACCCGGAGCGAAATGATTTGTTTTACTTGTAAGCGCGATCATTTGGTTAATTGATAACAGCACTTGATCGGAGATTGATGGGTGAAAGATCAATTAGCTGGCTCTGCAGTGATCTCACAAATATGTATATATACATATATTTAATGGGACCCCAATCAGTGGCGCCGTGATTCATCCATGGGCTTGGTCTGGTCTCTCCACTGCTTTCCACTGTGCCAGGCCAAACCAGAGCAAACCGAGCCACACTCCAAACCGCACACACATCGGGCACACACACGCATAGCTCATGCAAAAAGTCCCTGTGCGTTGGTTGCTGGATTTTTCCACTTTTGAAAATTATACGCTTGCTGCTTTTATTTTTTCTCTCGCCTTTTTTCTCTGTTTTTCTTTTTTGCAATTGATGGCATCCGATAGGAAGGAGCCTGCCTGGCAGCCACTCGCCGGAGGCCAGGTCCAGCACTTAAAGAAACATATTAGGATTGTTATGGATTTAATTGCATTGCTTTTATGTATTATTTTATACTATTAGGGAAATGGAGTTAATTGCTATCTTGAACATAAATAGTTTAAGATACATTTTAAAAAAGATAAACAGCAAATGATGAAATGATGATTATAAGACCCTCTTAAAGGATCTAAAAATGGTAATATATACCATATCCTACTGGTTGATTTATGCTGATTGATTTTACAAAAAAAGCTTATTTAAATTATAATTAAAACAATTTATAGCTTGAACTTTAAATTAAAGGAATTAAAGAGAACAGAAATTGTATATTACGAACTATAAATTATACTTGAGATAGTCATAAATAGTAAATGAAAAAGGTCTTTCATATGAAGGAAGAAATGTAAGTTTTTCGAAAGCCTTCTAGGCTACAAATTGTTTATCAAATTATTCCCTAAATTTCAGGCAAAATTTTCTTCAAGTGCTGGTTCGTGCCACCGAGTGGGTGGTGCCGGGGTTGCGGTCGCATAGTTGCAGTTGCAGTTGCAGCCCCAAGTGAGATGAGATAGGCTGTGCGGTCTCGACTGCTTCTGGGTCTGCCTCCGCATCTGACCAGTCCAGCGGATCGTTTACATGTGCATTAATTCCTAACGCCGCTTAATTTTCTCCGGGGCTTAATGGCTCCGATTCGGATCCAGGCCCGGGATCCATGTCCATTAAGCTCTGAGAATGCGTCTGTCTGTCTGCCAGTCTGCCACTCTGCTGTGGTGGTGCTGGTGGAGGCTGGATATATGTTGAAATTTTCATCTTTATGGCCGGCAGCAGCAGCAGCTCCAACAAATTGGAATAATGAACGTGGGTTCAATTATCGCGGGCAAACAATCGTGGCAGCCACAAAGAGCGCTAATAGATTTTCTACCGCTTAATACACTCGGATCTCTCGGATCTTGGATCTCGCTTCCTCCGGAGGCGGCTGGCTCTCACAGCAGCTTTCTTTGCAAACAGATTCAGACAAAACAAAGCCAAAGCCCCAACTGAACGGAGCCACATCCGACCGACCAAAGACAACAGAAATCAGAAATGTTTCGGGGCCGGAGGCAATTAGTGTGGAAATTTCACTTGCAGTTTTTAGCACAGATTAAGCTTACGATTTCTGGCTGGGATTAGCATGAACAATTATAGATGGAGGTCGGTTGATAGTATGTGTAGCACAATAATAATAATAATAATAATAATAGTTGTGCTCAAATCTCAGCCACAAATGCTGCCATTGTGTCGTTTACTTGGAATTGAGTTATGAAAACTGGTACCGTTAGTAACATAGTAGTGGTAAAGGGAACTCCCCCGTTTCCCGTTCCCGTTCCCGTTGCCCCTTTGGAACTCGGAACTCTCGTCAACCTTATAAACTCCCAAATTATTCAAGTTAATGGCTGGTTACTTGAGTCGGTCATGCGATCACTATGGATAGTGATGGAGGAGGTTCTGGAGGTGGAGAGCCAAAGACACAGTGGGTCACAACTGCGCAGAATGCCCAAAGCTAATCTCGCATTTGTATGCCCAGAGACAACTCTTCCGCATGCGAAGGAAAATGCCAAGGGAAAGTGGCCATTCGGGACGGGTTCGAAGCTGCAGTTACCCTGGGAAAGCTAAGCGGAAAAAGGTGTAAATTAAACAGTGAAAGTGTGAACTTGAAAAGGGAGTCTAGAGGATGCTAAGATCTAAATCTGAACTACAGTATGATTTTTGGAAGTAAATAAAAAATATATATAATCTTAAGGGATATGAAATATTCATAACTCATTATAAATAAAATTTAGTATGGTCAGTTAAGGTCTTTGACATTACATTTTCAGTTTGTTTAGGGTTTGGAAGATATTGTACCGAAACTAAAACCCTCTAAAAGAAAAGTTTCTCCATTTTTCGTAATAGACAATCAACAGCTTTAAGTTAAGTTATAAAAGCAACGTTATGCTACACAACCTAATGGCAAATAAAGTGACAAATAAATTTATTTACAGTTCACAAAAGAAGAGTTGCAGAATTTTTAAGAGCTTTGTTCTAGAAAGACACAATAAACGCTCCGTTTCCACATTTTTTTAAGCTTTCCAACAGTTTGCGATTAAATATGGGTAGAGATTTGTGAATAGATGCCTAAAAACTATTTTTAAGGTAAATATTAAGAGAAGAAGCTTTCTAAATCAACGCACGTGAAACGTACGTCTTTATAATATATTTTTTAAGATATTAAATACATTTATCATGCATTGTATGATTATTATCAATTTTCTCATATATGTTAAATATATAATTTTATTATATATATATATTTAATTGCTACTTACCCTACATTTTTCTCGATTTTCCTAGGCGCTGTTACAGACTCCCCCATCAAGATCATTCGGCTGCCGGCACAGGCACCCGTGATCCGGTACCGCAGTGCAGATGCAGCGCCGGATTCGCTGTTGATCAACTACCGCCAAGATCCACAACCGGAGTTATCTTCCACATTGATGCAGGCTCCCGGGGCGGCGGCTGCTGCACTGGAGTCACTGCTGCGCGAGGAGACGGAACAACAGCAGCAGGCACAGATGGGCAGACGGAATAGGGCCAGTGCCGGCAGCACTGGAAACTGTCCGCGATCGTGTCCACCAAGCTTGACTGTGGGAGCAGAACCTGTGTGCGGCAGCGATGGCCTGATCTACGCTAATCTCTGTGAGCTGCGCAAGAAGACTTGTTCAAGGAGCGGCGTCTCCCTGATCAAGGATGTCCGTGATGGTTGCGAGCGTTCGAAGGGGTCGGACTGCAAGCACCGTTGCAGCACGGAGAAGGATCCGGTTTGCGGCACTGATGGACGCACCTATCTGAATCGCTGCATGCTCCGGGTGCAGTCCTGCCGCGTGGGCTTGGCGGCAGTGAAGCTATCCCACGTGGGTCCTTGCAGCAACACGAGTGCCGTGCGCGAATCCTGTCCGGTGGATTGCAACAGTGCCCCGAAGGACGGACCTGTATGTGCCTCCGATGGCAATGTGTACAACTCGACGTGCGAAATGAAGCTGCATACGTGCGGTCAGGGTGTGGTGAAGACCAGCCGGAAACACTGCCAGTCGACGAGAATGTGCCGCGAGTCCTGCTGGCGTGTGGCCAGGCCCACCTGCGGTTCCGATGGGCGACTCTATGCCAGTCCCTGCAAGATGCGTTCCTCCAACTGTGGAAAGCACGTTTTCGAAGTGCCGCTCTCCTTCTGTATGCCGCAGGAGCGGCATGGCAGTGCCGCCGATGCCTGTCCCACCGAATGTCCCAAGGCGGAGGCAGATGCTCCGTCGCAGTATGTGTGCGGCAGTGATGGCAACATTTACTCCTCGCTCTGTGAGCTCAAGATGCTGAACTGTGGGTAAGTTTAAGAGAAATAATAGAAGTAAATTAATAAATGATGAATTTAAACCACTTTCTCTTCCGCAGCCCTCAGCGGAAGTCCATACAGAAGGTGAGCATGGACAAGTGCAAGAATCGCTTGACTCGCTGCAAGCAATTGCCGCCCTGCAAGGACTTCAACAGCCTGTTTGGCTCCATCTTCAGCTCGAAGCGGAACGACAAGCTCTGCGGCACAGATGCCAAGACCTACAACAATGAGTGCGAGCTGGCCCATGCCACCTGTCTGTAAGAAAAATATAAATGAGGTTAAAGTTTAAAGGACTTCTTACCATCTTGCATATCCTATTTGCAGACGCGGCGTGAACCTGGCTCATATTGGACCCTGCACGGATCTTAATTCGCCCGCCAAGGATTGCGGTGATGCCTGTACGCGGGCGGACCTGGAGCAGCAGCCGGTGTGCGGATCGGACGGCAACACCTTCGCCTCCATGTGCGAGTTCAAGAGGCGCACTTGCAACATGCGTGTGGTTGCCGTTTCCCTGAAGAACTGCGCCCTGACCGCCGATTGTGAGTCGGATTGCGATGCTCAGCCGCCGAGTTTTGTGTGTGGATCGGACAATAACCTATACAAGTCCGAGTGCCACATGCGCAAGGAGAACTGCGGCAAGCATGTGTTTGTTGTGCCTCTGAAGCGATGCCTGGCCGCCTTCCAGCTGAAGGGATGCGCTCGCATCTGTCCGCGGGAGTTCGAGCCTGTGTGTGGCAGCGACAACAAGACGTATTTGAACGACTGCTTCCTGGAGATCGAGAACTGCAGGGCGAACCAGACGGTGAACATCAACTACTACGGCGCCTGTGGCCGCCCCGAGGCACCGTCCACGAACTTCCTCTACTAGGATGTGTGCATGGCGCCTGCATTAGACACACACTTGGCAGCATTTAATAATTTTAGGCTATAGTCTTGTATTGTACTTTTTTTAAAAGCAATATTTATTGAGTTTTGAATTAAAGCCCCCCAACGAACTTACGAACTTAGGAATGCACTCGAACCCAGCTCCCCTGGGAGCTGAACACATCTAGGCGGAGTCATCGAATAGCTTGCTCAGCATGGCATTTATCTCGTGCGGCCTGTATCTCACATACTTGTCGGGATTCTTGCTGAACTGAACGCCGGCGTACCTGAAAGGAGATATAAATTAAGTTACGAAAATGCCTAAGGCCTAATACTTAAGCTTACATTTCGTGGAAACGATTGTATTTGGGCAGTATGTGCTCTACATTATCACGTTTAATGCCCTCGCGTAGGATAACATCAGGGATGGAGATGCCACGCTGGATCTTACAGGCCTCCTCAAAGTCCTTGTTGAAGTTCTACGAGGAAAAAGTATATCAAATTAGAATTAAGTTGAAAAAACTATTTATTATGTATTGAAACCTACCGAAAACCTCTCCTTTAGCACACTACGATCCTTGTCTTTCACTTTGCCGGCCACGGGCTTTGGTAGCTCATCCAATGAGTAAATTCCTAGCAACATCTTGGACCACGTCTTCTGGTAGCTGGCCTTCAGCTCGCGTATCATCTCCAGGTAGCTGTGCTCACACTCTGGCTCCGCTAGCGTCACCAAGTCAATGAGGTTGGAGCGCTGCAGCGATTTAAGGATGTAGTGGATGTTGTTCAGGCGGAAGAGATGCTTGGTAGCCTGGTCATTGTACTGCTCGCATTTGTTCATAATGGACAGATTCAGTTCCGCCAGGGCCTTTTCTGTTTAGAATTATAATATAAATTATAGTATAAATTAAAATAGGTACTTTATAAGGAGCAAATTCCTTACTTATATAAATAGCAAGGAGAGCCTTGTTCCGTTCCTCTCCCGGCAGCGCCTTCTTCATCAGAATGGTGTCCAGCTGCGTAGAGTAGAGCACATCCTGTGCCAAGATGGAGCCAATCACGTCAAAGTGCTCGTACAAGTGCTCAATGAACCAAATCGTATTAGAGGTGAGCTCATGAACGGTGGCATCTTTGGGCACATTGCTCTGTCCCACAATATTCGTGCTGGACTCACCCTTAACCACGTCCAAGAAGTGCTCTAAGGCCTTGGCGCCCGTATGCTGCAATTTATTCAGCACCTTGGTCAGTTGTTCCCTCTGGGCAGGATCATAGGTACGCTCGATATCCGGCTGCAGTAGGATCACACGCTTCAGAGCGGAGAATATGCCCAGGGCCGAGGTCCACTCCTTGCGTGAGATGCATCGCAATATGCGTTGCGTTATGGCCTCGGCATCCTTGACCACCAGCTCGATGGCGTTGTAGGCCAAACGAGCGAATACTTCGTTGTGCTTCGATTGCGGTATAATGTCGTGCATGATCGCACGTTCCCAATTAAGCAGCCGCTGCAGACCGAGCAGCATGACCAAGTACTTATCCAGCTCCTGATCGCCATCCATCAGATCCTCAGAGGTCAAATGATCGCTGTGCGACGATGCCTTCTTAATGGAGAACCCAGTGGACTGCTCAATGGTTTGTGTGGCCCGTAAATACAGCTTGTTGGCCTTCTTCTCAAAGCTGAAGTTGGTAATTAAATGAGTTTGATTATCAACTGGAAAAGAAATACAGAATTTAGTTGCTCTCACATTTGCTGAAGGCGGGCCGAGGTGTTCTTCTTGGGTTCCGTTTGGCGTCCACTGTGACGAGGTCTCTGAAAGAATACGCCGAATAGTTTAGATAATAGTAGATTGGGGGAAAAATATATTTGCTAGCTACTACTACTATTAATTAATATATCCTGAAGTATAAGGGACATAGAATTTAAAAATCAAAGAATTATTACTTATCAGAGATTTTTTAAGACCACCATTTTTGTTTTTATTTAGTTTTAAGCTTACAATAGAGATATAAGAGACCAGCTTTATAAAAATAAGATGCAGACCCTCTGCTTACATAGAACATATTTGATAAAAACTTATTTAGATACATACTTTTATATGTTTTCCAATATTATTCCAACTTAAAAATTCTTTGGGTATACATTTATTCTTAAACTAACAAAATATAATATGCAGACACCAGGTCGTTCACAAACATTTTCTCATAATCCTATTATTAATCCTCGAGATCCAACATAGCATAAACTTTCTTCACATAAAACACATTTCAAAATATATATCAAAAAGACTTAAAGAGCATTGATGGCATCCATAATGCGATTGCAATCCTCATCGGCGTTGAGGCCAATTTTGGCCAGATCCTCGCGTCCCATGGAGGCCAGGGTCACCAAATCAATGTGAGCCTTCTCAAAGTGACGGACATAGTTCTCCAGACCAATGTGCACAAGTACCTGCTCCACATTTCGGGCATGATTCACCACATACGAGTGATTGGAGGCTGTAATGGAGCGGCGGCGTGACTCCACGGTTAGGGAGGTCTCCAAATTGGAGTCATCTGAACAGGTATCCGGGCTGCTGCTGCTATTGCTCTTCATCTCCTTTTCACGTTCCGATTCCCATTGTTTATGCTCCATAATCTCTTCCTGCGGCTGGGGCAGTACGAAAATCGGAGGCTTTAGCTCCGTGCGATTTATGATCTTATTGTGGTGCTTTTGCGGCTGATGTATATCCAACTTCATTGGCGGCTTCTTGAATGCTTCAAAGCGCATGGGTGACACGGGACTTTTCTTCGGACCCATGCCCTCGATCGGCGAGAGATTGGGCGATCGGAAGTCCCCAAAGATGGGCGTGGAGCAGCGAACGCTGGTGTTGCTCACGTTCAGGGTGTTCCACCGCCGCTCCTTCATCGTTGGAGTGCGATTGAAGGTGTAGTTTTTCTTGTTGGTCGGAGTACGGCAGTGCTCCATTTTATTTAATTTAATTTTCGTATTTCTTAATTCTAAAAACGATGCGTTCTCGACAATTTCTAGTTGGCAAATGGCGGCCACAGAAGCTGCCTGGAAATCTAATTGCTTTGGAAGCTTTTTCACTCAAGTGCCGTTATTCGAAATAGTAAAAGGAAAGGAAACAAAATAGAAGCTAGATAGAGATGAGGTATCCCGGTACGACAGTTGACAAGGTAAGTGGTAAAGGGAAAGGTACAGACTCAAGTAATATTGTCGACAAAATTGTACCCAAAGTGGGAAAAAGATAAGCTTAAATAAATGTTCAGGGTACTTAATTATTTAATTATAAATATTCTTAATAATATAAAAGGTACCTAATTAAAAACTTTTCCCCCAATTAGAAAAGACTTCACTACTCACCAGCGCCTCGTGTCCCCAACTATTGCTCTTCTGGTGATCCTTAAGCAGCTGCAGCGAACGTAGCACCACATCACCACGCTCCGTGGCATAGATGTGGGTGTACTCCCGCAGATTTTGCTCCAGCCAGTGGGAAATGGTGTAGAGCTCTTCGCGGGTTGTCTGCGACAGCTGCCGGAATGAGGTGTACTCGTCGCTAGAGTCGTCTTCGATGTAGATGAGATCCAGCAGCTCTACGGGTTTCAACGGAGCACTGTGCTTCTTTAGCAGCATACTGTAGTGCTGGTTGAGGCCCTCGCATCCGGTGTTGAACAAGCTGGTCACGTTCTCCAGCTCCACGCTCTGGGAGTTGTTGTGCAGAAAGTAATCCATGGCTGCTCGCAGCTTGGCCAGAGCGTCCAGGAAGACGGATATATTGCCTTCAATAGGTCCCTGGTGAATTAGTTGGCACACCTCCTGCGAGACATCGTAGTGCGAGAGAACACTCTCCAGGCAGTTCAGTGTGGCTTCTAGGTCTACGAAAAGAGAGGCGTCAACCCACTAGAGCTCAGGGAATCCCTTTGTTTATCTTTCCACTTACTTTGCTGCCGCTTCTGGAGCTGCTCTGTCTCCTGGTAAACGGGTAATATGGTTTGCTCCAGGTTCCCCAGTCGCTTCTCGAACACGGTAAGAATACTGGACATTTGCGTGGAGAGATCATGATACTTATCCACTCGGTCTTTCAGCAGAGCCAAGTTGGTGGTTTCCTACGAAAAATCTGGGTAAATATGGGGTCCCAAAGGCTGGCAGTTGGGTTTACCTTTTCCAACTTGTTGTGCGCCTGCAAGGAACTGTCCAGATTGTTCATTTTCTACCGGATATATCTTAAATTTCGCTAAAATTGATTTGTTGTGGCTGGATATTGTAAAATAAATAATTGTCTTATTAGACTGACGAAGTTTCTGGCTTTTTTAGGTCATTATGCAATGGTCACACTCTTTAACCAGTCCTGCCAACTTTCGTTAAATTATCCGTTGCCATGGAACCTGTATGTAAACAACAAATATAAAACTCGGAATTTTTACCAACTATGCAGCTCTAGAGGATTAAGCTTAGATTGTTCCAAAAATGAGGGGCGTACTCAAGTGGCTGGAGCGGATAGAGTTCCCCAACAGCAAGGACAACGAGATCAGGTAAGGCATTCCGCAGAAAAACAACAACCTGTTGCTCCATAACGGTAACGGGAAAACCTCTTTTACAGTGTCCACAATGTATGCTATGCGCCCGATGGCAGCCAATTGGTGGTGGCCGCAGGCGACCGGCTGCTCATCTACGATCCGAACGACGGTTCGCTCCTGAACACCCTGAAGGCCCACAAGGATACGGTCAACTGTGTGGCATACTCCCGGGATGGCAAGCGGTTCGCCAGCGGAGCCTCCGATAAAATGGTCATTGTGTGGTCACCACAGCTAGAGGGGCTGCTCAAGTATTCGTAAGTAAATGTGAAAAATATATTTCAAATTTAAATTAAAGTACCACCAAGTAAAGATAGTAAAACCATTTATTTTAATATATTTATAATATGCTTAAATTTTAAATTAAATACTTCAGAAATTGAAAAGATTTTGTATATTCTTTTAGATGTGTTCTGTTATTGATTTTAAAGGTCTATTGTTATTTCTATCTATTTTCCTATTACTTATTACTTTGAATATAATATCTTAAAAACAAAAATTAAAAAAAAACTCACTTTTTCCAGACATGGCGACTCCATTCAGTGCATGAGCTTCAATCCCGTCTCACACCACCTGGCCTCCTGTTCCCTGTCGGACTTTGCCTTCTGGTCGGCGGATCAGAAGGCTGTGCAGAAGTATAAGATCTCTGCTCGGGTGAATGGCTGCTCCTGGACCAACGACGGACAGTACCTGATCTTGGGTCTTGCCAATGGCACCATTTCCATACGCAACAAGTTGGGCGAGGAGAAGGGTCGCATCGATCGTCCAGGCGGACCCAATAGCAACGTCTTTAGCGTACAGTGCTGTCCGGCCAGTGGACCCGGCAGCGTGGACACCATCGGCGTTGTGGACTGGAGTCAGACACTTTCGTTTCACACGCTTAGTGGCCAGATGATTGGAAAGGAGCGGACTCTGGGCTTTGATCCCCTGTGCCTGCAATATTTTCCGAATGGAGAATTCTGCTTGGTCGGCGGCTGCACCGGAGGACTGCACTTCTTTACGAGAGAGGGTATTCGGCTGGGCACCCTGGGCGATAGCTTCGACACTTGGATTTGGACAGTGGCATTGCATCCCAACGGTCAGTCGTACACCATTGGTTGTCAGGATGGAACACTCGCCTGCTTTAACATCGCTTCGAGCACTGTTCATGCTCTTTACCGCGAGCGATATGCCTTCCGGGAGAACATGTGTGACGTTATCATCCAGCACCTTATCTCCGGCCAGAAGGTCCGCATCAAGTGCCGGGATTTGGTGCAGAAGATAGCCATCTACCGGAACCGATTGGCTGTTCAGCTGCCAGAGCGCGTGGTTCTCTACGAGCTGAGCTCTGGCGAGGATCAGCCGATGCACTACAAGGTGCGAGAGAAGATCCAGCAGAAGTTCGACTGCAGTCTGTTGGTGGTGTGTGGTCGCCACATCGTTTTGTGCCAGGAGAAGCGACTCCAATGCCTGGATTTCTCCGGAGTCCTTCAGCGCGAGTGGATCATGGACTCCTTTATTCGGTACATTAAGGTCACGGGTGGTCCAGTGGGTCGCGAGGGACTGATGGTGGGTCTGAAAAGTGGCCAAGTGTTTCGGATCTTTCTCAACAATTCCCTGCCGCTGCTGATTACCACCGCCGTGTCGGCAGTCCGTTGCTTGGACATAAACTCCAAACGGAGCAAGATCGCTGTGGTAGACGATGTTGGTCGCTTGGTGGTGCGTGACATAGTCAATGACACAATCCTGTACCAGGACACGGGAGTTAACAGCGTTACTTGGAATACCCATCTGGACTCGATGCTGTGTTATACCCACACCACCGGAGGATTAAGTGTTCGCGTGGGCAATCTACCGCCGAGAGCGCCGCAGAATATGCATGGCGTGGTGGTGGGACTGTGCGGAGCCACTGCCTTCTGTCTGCGAGGGAATATAATGCACAATACGCCTTTGGCCCTCGGATCTACCATGTGGCAGTTTATCGAAGCGGGCTTATTTGAGTAAGTCTTAAATTTTAGCCTAAGGTTACTTCTAATGATGGATTATTTTGTTCTTAGGGAAGCTTATCAGGTGGCTTGTCTGGGTGTGACCACCAGCGACTGGGAGGGACTGGCCCAATCCGCACTAGAAGCCCTGCATATCAATATAGCCCGCGATGCCTACGTCAAAGTGCGTAACCTACCTTGGCTCAAGCTGATCGGGGAGCTGAGGGATCAGCAGCAGCGATCAGCTGTGCCCAAGGAAGTGTTACTCGCAGAGAACTGTGCCTTCGCTGGAAAATTCAAGGAGGCTGCTCGCCTATTCCTCAAATGCGGCCAATCATCCCGAGCTCTCGAAATGTACACGGACCTGCGAATGTTTGATCTGGCCCAGGAGTACATCAAAGACGGCACGGCGCAGGAGAAGAAGGAGCTGGTGCGCAAGCGGGCGGAGTGGGCCTATTCCGTCAAAGAGCCGCGTGCTGCCGCCGAGCTACTGCTGTCCGCGGGAGAGAATCAAAAGGCCATTGATATTGTGGCAGAGCAGGGATGGTCCGATGTGTAAGTATCTAAAAGATCTCAAAAATCAAAAAACTAAAGTAAATAAACTATTTAGCCTATACGATATCGGACGTCGACTGAGCCTCTCGGAACGCGATGCGTTGGAGTCGGTGGCCCAGAACTTGAAGACCCTCAAAGCTCTGCCCTTGGCAGCGGAGATTTTCAAGAAACTGGGGGACGAAGCCCAAGTGGTGCAGCTGCACGTCGAGGTTCGAGATTGGCCAGAGGCTTTTCGATTGGCGGAATCCTTACCAGAGCTTCTGCCCACGGTGCACTACCAGCATGGTCAGTGGTTGGCCGAAACAGATCAGTTTATAGAGGCGCATCAGGGTGAGAGACTAGATTATTATAAACTTGTTAGAACTTATTTTTAATGAAGTGTCTGCTTTATAGCCTATCTGAAGGCAGGACGCACCAAGGAAGCTAATCGGCTGCTAAAGCAGCTAAGCAATACCGCCATAGTGGAGGAGCGTTATCTGGATGCTAGTTACTTTTACTGGCTGCTGGCCAAGCAGTACTTGGATATCTATCATTCCAAGGAGTGGGTTGAAAGCTATTTTTCATAAAGACAAGTAATGAAATTAATGCACATTCTTATTTCAGCGAACAAAACCCAATTGATCATCACCTGACTGAGTACAAGAATCATTTGCGCATTGCCAAGGTCTACTATGCATACAGTGTGATCTACAGCTACATGAAGGAACCCTTTACGACCCATTCACCAGTGAGCTTGTTCAACGTGAGTCGCTTTATACTCAACGAAGTGGAGCACAAGGGTGTGCCCAAAGGAGTTAGCATGTTGTGAGTTATTCACTGACCTGAAGGTTGATCTCTGATTATAGATATTAATTCTTAACGTATACTTTGCAGCTCCGTTCTTTTCACTTTGGCTAAACAGGCCAAGTTTCTGCAGGCAAATAAATTGTGTTTGCTAATTAATAAGCGTTTGCAGTCCTTAAAGCCACCTGCTGGTATACAAGAGCAAATTGATGTGAGTCTATCACAGATCTCCCAGTAATTGTTAACTTAAAACTAATGTTCTTGCAGCTCAATTTTTTGAATAGCAAGGCCTGCAAGAGTGGGTTTAACGATCCCGAGGAGTTGTTGCCCCTTTGCTACAAGTGCTCGAATTATAGCCAGCACTTGAATAGCAATTGTTGTCCCACCTGCCGGCAGGATTACATTTTCTCATTCGTTTCATTTGGTAAGACAAGTTGCTTTGATCCTAATTCGATATTACTGGTATAAGAGTGAAGATATGAGCTGATCTATAATTTCCTTTGCTTTAGAAATTCTACCCTTAGTGCAATTCTATCCCGAAGTTGATATATCAGACGGCGAAGCTGAGCGTTTGCTGCTTGCGCCTGCAAAGCATGCCGAGGATTCGGATCCCTTCAACGAAGATGCGGCCAGTGTGGCCTTGCCCTTGAGCCTTGACCGCAATGGTTTGCGTGCCATTGATCCCAACCATGTGCTCATCCTCAAGCGGCAGGGAAAGAACGTGCGGAATGTGTACTATCGCAATATATTGCCAGATCTGCAGGTTACCTATTGCCCCCAATGTTTGCTGGTGAGTTTGGTATACAAGAAATAATACTTACATAGATCTAAATTAATTCTTTGCAGCTCTTTTATGCCGAGGACTTTGAACTGCAGGTATTGCAGAAGGGTCACTGTCCGTTTTGCCACACATCGTCGGAAAAGTTGTTGGAAGACTTTTAAGGCGGCCTTAAAGTAGTTTTGTTAAGAATATTATTTCCGTCCACACAAACCGTACAAATAGGAACTTATGCGCTAATAAAGATTAGCTTTTACGCCCAGGTCTCCTCTTGGTACCGTCGCTGCTTGATCATCAGATCCACATAATCCGCATCGCCGCCGAGGATCTCGATGAAGGCCTCTCTAACCGATTTCGGCATGTTGTTGGAGTTCCCAGCCACGTATATGAAGGCATTGTGGTTTTTAATAAGCCCCGCCAGGTGAGGGCCATTCTTGGTGATTAAATGCTGGACATAGACCTTGTGATCCTCGTCCCGCGAGAAGGCGAAGTGAGCCTCCACCTGTTTGGTCGTTGTCCAGGTCGTGAAGTCCTCTTGGAAGTGAAAATCCGATGATTTATTGCGGCAGCCAAAGAACACGACCAAAGGCCCGATTACAGAGCCCGTGGATTGGGCTTGCAATCGATTTTGGATGATACTCCGGAAGGGAGCAATGCCAGTGCCAGGTCCCACCATGATGAGAGGGATGCTCAAGTCGTTAGGCCATACCATGGTACCCTTCTTTAGCACGCCACGTATCTCTGTTGTTCCCGCCTCCAATTGCTTCAGCCAGTTGGAGCACAGGCCCAGACGAGGAGTGTGCATTATGGTCTTGTAGTTGACCACAGCCACCAGCAAGTCCAGCGTGCCGGAGGACACATCCGAAGCTATGGAAAAGCTGCGAGGCTGTATCAGCGGCATCATCTCGAAAAGTTGCTCCAGAGTCAGGCAGGAAGTGGCATGGCGAAAGTCCTGGAGAACTTCTAAGATTGTGCGGCGCGGCCTGTTGACATAGGCCACCAGGTCATCGATGCCCTCACCAGAACAGAACTCATCTAGCTTCTCCTTTTCCATCTCGTCGCTGCAGTTGAAGCCCAGCACCTCGAGGAATCGCTGCCGCGGCTTGGCGCTCAAGTCCCAAACGTATTTGGCCGCCTGCCGGAGGCTTAACGGAGTGGCATAGGCCTTTGGCAACGGCATGTCCGGATGGGCGCTCGCCACCTCGACCACGGTGTCTTCGTCGAAGTTCAGGTTGTGTTCCTGGAGTAGATCAAAGAATTCATTCACAGTGTTCTCGCTGTTTTGAGGCTGCACATCGATCACATCGCCGGGTTCCCAGCTGAGGCCTTCTGCCTGGTATTCCAGCTTCAAAAATCGCACATCCTGAAAGTGATTCTCAGCCGTTGTCCTTTGGTTATCCTTAAGTTTAAACGCGTACGCAGGTTGTTTTTGGGTCCAGAGCAGAGTTTCCAGGGAGGCAAAGGCGGATTCCTTTGGTAACGTCTTCAACTGCCACTTTCCCGTGCTTTGGTCCTGACCACCATTCAACTGACTGTCGTTCACGCCGGAGATACCTTTAAGGGCAATCCACAGGTCTTTAGTCCAGGCGAGGGACACTCCCAAATGACCATAATCATGCTGATCATCGCACAGACCCACTGGACAGACGGCAGCAGCCCCCAAATTTAGCAGGCGCTTGTGCAGTTTCTTGGCGGCGTAGTTGAACTTCGGATAGCTGGAGTCACCGAGCCCCAGGCAGGCAAACTGCATTCCTTGTAGGGATTGGGCGGGCAGGCTGCGTTTCAGCAGAAACCGCCAGGCCTGCTTCATATTATCGGGCTCCACGCCATCGCCGGTGGTGGCCACCACAAAGACCACGAGGCTCTCCTCGATAAGCCGATGGGTTTCGTACTCCTCGAAGGAAAGAACCGGACCCTGGAAGCCCAGCAGATGCGACTCTCGCCAGATCTGCTCCGCCACGTCCTGGGCAGTGCCTGTTTGGCTGCCATAGAGAACCAATAGCCGCATTACTCTATAATTTTGAACTAAAAAATAAGTAAATATTGTAAATAGTGTGACCAGAGGCCGGAACTCAAAGGGAAATTTTGTGAAGATTGGGACTTTCTAGCATTAATTGTTTCTTAATTATTTATTTAGTACTTTTTAATAATTTTGCTTCCCAGCAGATTAAGTAATAAATTAATAAATGCAATAGAATATTAAAAATAAGATAAAATAATATATTTACAAGTGAGAACTCAAAATGTTTGGTATATTTCAAACCGATCCTTGGTATATTTTGGTATTTTTGAATGTACACTGTCATACCGGAATTTCAATGTTTTAAATTTGCAAACAAATCCTGAATTTTGCGTAAATGTAAGTTTAATCATCAAGAAATGCCACCCAAGCAGACAGTGGAGGATATCCAGCTAAGCAAGAAGCTTTCCTGGTTGCTGCGCCATGGAGCCAAAACGGAGGGCATTCCTATCCAGCTGGATGGCTACGTCAGCGTGTCCGATCTTGTGAAGCATTCGCGCTACAAATGCTTCTCTCTGGAGAAACTGCAGGCGATTGTGTCCGCGGACGCCAAGCAACGATATACTCTACGCTGGAACAAAGATCGTGGCGTCCATGAGATTCGTGCCAACCAGGGTCACTCCCTATCGTCGGTGGTGGACAGCGAGGCGGCGGGCCTTGAAAAACTGACTAATCCGCCTCTCCTGGCGGTCCACGGCACCTACTACAGGCACTGGGAGGCTATAAAGGCACAAGGTTTGAGCAGGATGAATCGCAACCACGTACATTTTGCCAGCAGCGACAGAACGGAGTCTACCCTGAGTGGATTCCGCGGCGATTGCCAGATTCTGATATATCTCGACACCGGAAAGGTTCTCTCGGACGGCATACCGATCTACCGATCCAGCAATGATGTGCTCCTCTGTCCTGGCGTCGAGGGCGTCATAGACACATCATATTTCGAACGAGTGATTGACAGGAGAACGGGGCAGCCTTTGGCTTACTGACTTACTCCCCCACTGTCTTTATATTTCGTTACTGAATAAAATACTTAAGCAAACAGAACAGTAAGCTAATCGTAATCCCTTCTTGCAGACAATGCCGGCCCCCGCCTCGGAACAGAGCCATCCGACGTGCGGCGATGTTGTGGTGCAGGTGTGCATGGTCTGCTCCGCCCCGTTCCAAAGTGTACAGGACTGCCTAGCCCATGAGCTGCTTAAGCATTCCAGCAAGCCGCAGAAGCAGTTGCGCCAGCGCCTCAACGCCATTACCAAGTTGTTTACGAGCAAGCAAACACAGTCGGAGCGAAGCGAGCTCCAGGCTCTGCTCATTCAGTCCCCACCCGATTATCACTTGCGCGCGGTCCTGGACTTCTATGCCAGTGATCTCAAGGAGCTAGAGGAATGCTATGGCCAAGTACGCAATTGCATCGAAAAGGAGCTAAAAGGCAGGGTGAAGGTCTATCCCTTTGGTTCGCTGGTCACGGGCTTGGCCCTGAAGGGTAAGTACCTCCTGTTTCCTGCTTCCTAGAGTGTGCTATGTATAACCCGTGTTCTTGCCCGCAGAGAGCGACATTGATTTGTATCTGCGGCCATACGATGACCCGCCCATGTTCCACAAGCAGCTGTACAACAAAGTCTCCAATTTTTTGCGTCGTTCCAAATGCTTCACGGACGTTTTCGCCATCCGCCACGCCCGTGTGCCCATCATCCGATGCAAGCATCAGCCAACCGGTCTTAGCATCGACATCAATATGTCCAATCCGAATAGTACGTACAACTCCAAGTTCGTGGGCGAACTAATGCGCCGCGACGAGCGACTGCGTCAACTGGGCCTCTTCCTAAAGATCTGGGCCAAGAAGTTGAAGCTAATTGGGCACGGCAGCATGACCAGCTATTGCCTTATCTGCATGATAGTAGTCAGCCTTCAGGTGCAGCATCTGCTGCCGTCCATCAAGGAGTTGCAGTCATTCTGCCCCCCAGAGAACGTGTGCGGCGTAAATTATGCTTACACCTTAAACATGATGCCGCCGATATCGTCCCAGATGAGCACCATGGATCTAATCAGGAACTTCTTTATTTACTACAGTACCGTCGACTTTCAGAAGACCGTGGTGAGCCCGTTCCTGGGCTGCGTTTTGGACAGAGAGACCACTATTGGTACGCCGGGTGGCGGCTTTCCCGAGTACGAGGCACAGCTGCGGGCCATAGAACAGGCGGTGGGAGAGCCGGCAGAAGCTTTTCAGGTGGACCGAAGCATGTGCGTACAGGATCCCTTCGAGCTGCAGCACAACGTCGCCAAATCCGTCTCCCAATCGAGTTTATGCTACCTCAGACAATGCCTAATCCTGGCAGCTCAGGCCAGTAGTGATCCGGAGCTGCAGTCGCGACCAGCGAAGCTTTATGACTACTTGCTATTCGGACTAACGGACAAATTGGTGGTTAACCAACACAAAGAGAAACCCACCCCGCCAAAGCAGCAGAAAAAGGAACTCCAGCCCGAGCCCGAAAATCTGCCGATAACTGAGCCAAAGGCTGCGAAATTGGAAGTTGTCACTGCGGAACACAATGCACCGCCCATTGTGAGAACGCACATTATTACGCCCACCACCAACGATCTCAAGTGCCTGCGCTCCAGCGAGCTGGCCAGTGCCTATGAAGGCACGAGACCAATATGCTACTACTGGATGTCCTGCTATGTGGACACCATCAAGGATGTGCTGGCACAGCTGTACGTACTGAATGTCGAATCGATGACGGAGGAGTCACACTATTACAAATGGCGCATCAGCAGCTCACTGGACACTTGGACGGGACGCTCCTTCCAGCGTGGCTCTGGTCAGTCATTCTTTGCGCATCAACTGCAGCAGACGATTGAATTTATGAAGACACGGCCCGCAGATCCCGTGTACGCAGTCAATATGCGTGGCATTCTATCGCTGCTGGCCAGTGAAGACTGCAAGGAGATACGCCTGGAAGTACAGCCTCTACCTGGGGACCTCCTAGGACTGCAGCGGAACAGTCCACTGACTAAGCTTTTTAAGGCGTTCAAAAACCTGTTGGGCAACTATAGCTTTAAGGAGAAGGCCAGTACATGGAAATATTACGCCAAATCCGACCAAACTGGAACTTTATGACAACCAAACGGACATACATATATGAATATGTAAACCTTGATGCACAAAAACTTTTCAAATTGAAAGCCTATAAGAATGTGAGCCTTTATGTACAAAAACTATTAGAACTGGAAGTCAAGTGGGCTTTCAATTACAAAAGTTTTTGTGCATAAAGGTTTACATAATCTTTACTGGACACTACTTTCAAAAAGAATTCCGTTATATTTGAATCTGGCTTAGAATAAATTAAATGTCTACTACAAATCATAGTAATTAGTGTTATAGCGACTAAGTATACAATTACATATATATAAACTAAACTAGTTCTTGGCCAAAGAGTTTCTTAGAGCGCAGAGTTATTTACAGAGTCTGAGGCAAAAAGCCTTTAATAACAATATGCATCTTGTCGCCCATACATATTTCTAGAATCTGTCTCTGAGCCTTGATTGAGTTAGCTCTAGAGACAGGAAACAAAATCGTAGGACGTTACTCATCATCTAATTAGAAGGTATTTTGTATGAAGTGTTTCTGATACGTTTCATAGATTTTAAAAACAATAGTTGGACAAAAACTGGAAGAAGTGCGGGATCACAGGGATCTATACTTTTGAATACTGCTGTCAAATTAAGCAATTACATTGCTTTCATTTAGAGGCATACAAAAAACTATTTTGGTTTCTGTGAAAACTAAAAAAGTACTGTTTTTTGAAATCTCCCCTTGTTTCAGACAGATATTCGCTATATATATACACATATAATTGCCAGATTCGCATCTGGGTAACGGCACTTGGGCACTAGCCTTTGTTATAATCCTACTCCATCCTCTATCCCTTCTTCTGTCGGCAATAGCAGTACTTCTTGGCAGCGAAATCCTTCATGCACTCCGCCTCCCCACTATATACGTTCAAACGGCTCACGGATCCCGTGACCGTCACGGAGTCATCCGTCTGGTTGTGACGCACGGTGGCCTCATACCATGCCTTGTTGGGCGACGTCACGAATATCAATCGATAGGTATGCACGTCGTCCGGATCGAGGGCATTGGGATGCGCCCTAAACGCCGAACGGATGCTCTGCAGCGCCAGCGGAGCACAGAGCTTGGCGTATGTTCCGTTTCGGAACTCGGCCACAAATGTGTTTAGGTAGGACACCACTCTCTTGCCCAGCTTCCGCGTTTCCGCCGATGTGCTCGACACGGTGTCGTATGCCCAACAGGTGCACCAATGATCCTCGATGCCCACGTCCGCACAAGTCCTCCGCGGTGAGACGGGTCGCAGCAGACTCTGACACTGCGGACAGTCGGGCGCCGGTCCCAGGGATGCCATATCCGTTCGCCCGGACAGGGAGAGTATGTGCTTCATGGTCAGATGGAGATCGTAGGGAGTGGTCAGGCGATTCCTGTTCAGGTGCAGGGCACGCACAAACTCCGGATGGGATTGACGCAGATGATGCGGCAGCCAGATAAAGATAACCGGCAGCCGTTCCTCCAAATGGCCCGACCAGGTGGCCCGCGTGGGACCGAACCTAAGGCCATGATCGCTGAAGAACACCACCACGCTATTGTCCATGGTACCCTGGCGCACCAGCTTTCGCAGATACTCTGCCATGTAGTCATCCATGCTGCTCGTCTGCGAAATATCACTGTGGCTGTGTGTGTTTGTCCAAAAGAACCCAAAGTACGTCTCGTTGAGGAATCGACGTGTGAACTCCATGGCATAGTCGTAGACATGCTCCGCGGCCGTCTCATAGCCGAGGCAATGGATGAGACCATTGACCACCGTGTGATCCAGCAGCTTCTCGGCGGCGGAGAGGTACGGACGAAGGTAGTAATCTGCCGGCGGATGCTCGAAGCCCTTCTTCAGGTAGTTGAAGGTGTTGATCTTCACCGCATCCTCTGCGTAGGCAGTGACATAGCCATGCTCCTTGTACTGCTTCCAGATGTAATTGCACTTGTCCAGGCCACCGACCACAAATGGGGAGCACTCCTGCTGGGCATTGTGCAGGTTATAGCCGGTGGCCAGGGCCATTATGTTTGGGAATGTATTGTCGTCCACCTGGAAAGGTTTAAAGACGACAAAGAGAAGATGTAGTTCTTGTAGTTTAACACTTATTAAGATTTAATTATACAAGAACTAGAAAATCACCTTGTTGTATCCCGCCAACTCGAACCACTCATTGTCGTACAGATACTGTGCCGTCTTGGGCATGGCCCGGATGAGATTCACACGTGAGATGCTATCGATGCCCAGCATGAGGACACTGGGCGGTCTTTGTGGCGTCTGCTGCTCCTCTGTCTTGGCCTCCAACTCTGCGGACTTTTCATATGCCTCCTGGAGTCGCTGCTGGACGGCATCCTTGACGGGAATGGTGGCATGACCATTGATGTAGATCTGCTTGCCACCCGACTCGCACTTGACGATGATATCCTCGACGGATTTGGGCAGCTCCGTGCGTCCCTTGAAGCTGTGGCACTTGGTGTAGTTGACCTCCATTTCGTTAACCCGCTGCACGGCCATGTAGCAGCATTGGAGGTTGTTGTTCACCGGATACTGGCTGAAAGCGGCTCCATCGACGGTGAGGAGGTACCTTTGAGAGCGCTCCTGGAACCTCACCCGTGTCAGTGGAGGCAACTTCTGGCAGGGTTTGTATTTCACCCGCTTGAAGTGACGCATCACCTCTCTCTTGTACGGATCCAGCTCCATAATCCGACAGGAGTTGCTGTACACGAGGAAGCCTTCAGGCACAAATGGAATACTACTTTCAGTAACTGTCACATCTGGGGACACTGCACGGGACTCGGACAATCACATGCATCAACAAAATGGGGGAGAATGGCAAAAGACAAAATAAAAGAAAAGGAAAATTGGAAACCATAACTACAGGCATGCACTGAGGGGGCAACATAAGAAGTGATCAAGGATTTGCGATCAAGGATATGAATTACTCACCATCCATGATCGTTGACTGGTGCTGAACTGTCAGAAAGTTATCTCCGTGCAGGACATCCAGGTCAAGGACATTCGCCCAGTCAGGTCGCCCGATCACAAAGTAGCAAAACACAAAGGCCACCACCAGGCAGAGCACCGACTTCCGGCGGAGGAAGAGCATCCGGCAGCTGCCGGGCAGCGACTGGTGCTGGATTGCCTGGAGGATGATGCCCTTTCGCCGGGTCATTTGTACTTCCAGTTTCTCCGTCGTCTCTGAGGAATCCGATCGCTCCAGCAGTAAGCGTTTCTCTGCCATACCATTTAAGCTCTTGGCTATAATAGATCGATTCACATTTTGTTAAATAATGCATAATTTTTTTGCGAAATTTAATATTTAAATTATTTAATAACTAAGACACTTTTTTGTTAAATATAAACATTTGAAGTACTATATATAGTTAAGTGTTCTCCATAAGCAGATGCTGATCACCAAGTAAACCAACAGAGCTTGTCTATAAACTAAGTATTTATTATTTAAAATTAGTAATTAATTTTCACAACTAAGCACAGGTTAAAAATAAATGCAATTACTTTGCTTCTAATATATTTATCAGTGAGATTTGTGTAATTTGAATACTTTGTTTACTAAAAACAAAAAATGCTTATTCTTCAGCAAATATTTACAAACACGATGAAACGGAGAAAAAGAATAATAATTATAAAGCTATCGCTTAGATTACGATATTTTGAAAAAGTCACGAACCATGCATTACGCAAAATAAATATTGCTTTTTTGGAATGAATCAATTCTAATTTGAGTAAAATGTTCATTTTGCAATATATTCCATTTCATTTTTGTTCATATATGTATGACTCAACGTAAAGAAAAGAAAATTCAAAAATTATATATTTTATTTCCTGGTATCAATTCTTAAGAAATGAATTTGATTCTTAAATTTCAAAAAAAGAAACAAAAAGATTGGAATTACAGACTTACCGTTGGAATGCTTATTGAAGTATTCGTGGATTTATTGTTGCAAGATCGTTGATTCTGCAGCTGAAATTGGAAACAGAGAGATGATGACTTGTTGACCAATGCAAAATTTGTTTATTATTATTTATTTTTCTTTTTTTCGTTTCCCTAAAGGTCAGTTTACTGATTTCTATAGTAAACAATGAATAAATTACAAATTCTTCGGGTTTCAAAGCTTGCGAAAAAGCGAATGGATAGATGCGTTTTTAATTGCAAATTTCCGGAATAATAGGAAATTATATAATAATTATGCTGACATAAATTAGTAGCGTTTGAAAAGATTTTTAATAATTTCAGTAGTTAAAGGATTATAAATCTTAATAATAACAATTTAATAATGTACTATATAGAAGATTGCGTTGACAGTATAGTAAACACGGCTTAAAATACTTATTACAACTGGCAATTCCCTCATTTATAATCAAAAAACCACTTCACTTGTTTACCTAATCATTCATCTAAACTAGTGTTTTATTTACAGATTTACAGATAATAAATTTGTTCAGTTCTCGTTTTTACCCGTGGGTTTTTGTCAATAAAACGTTGCTGTTTTCCTTCAACCATTGTTTTCTTGTTCAAAAACATCGAACACTTGACACGGCTGTATTTATTTGTTGTGTTTTAGCCAAAAGAATATAAATAACATTTTATTTGGCCCTGATGGGATGAAAATCAGTGGCAAGGGATCGCGCCGAGGGATTAATTAATGAAAATGCAGCAACGTCTGCTAAAATGCAGTGCCACCGAGCGAATATTCAGCGGTCCGAGCACTATGACGGCACAAACGTGAGTGCGACGAGGCCCCCCGCTCAGAAATCAGATTCGGATTCGGAATGGCATTGGGTATGGGTATGGGTATGGGTATGAGTATGGGTATGAGTATAGGGGTCTGGGGGTCTGGTCGCTTGTGATGGGAACCGAATGGGGAAGTGAATGAGTGAGTGAGTGAGACTACCGACGGATCAGTGCTTTGCCGGCATTATTTCATCGATCACGACACAGTGAGTTCGGCGGTCATTAGTTTTTGTATTTTTGTATTTTTGCATCTTCGTGCTGTTACGATGATTAGATATTTTGTTGTGTTAATGCCTGGATACGTCTTCTTAGATGTCTAAATATAATTAAGATTTTAATACCCGGTATAAAGGGTATCGAAAGGGGCATAACTATTGAATGCAAAGGACAGCTGTCATTTTTGGCATTGCTTAAAATATTTATTTCGTAAATTTGGAACCACCAAAATTAGGCAAAAGAAATTTAACTGGATTTCTACATTAAGCCTTACTCATATGGACTTACACTTATAAAAAATGCAAAATGTATATTAAACTTAACAAGATTGCTGCTTTAATTAGGTCAATCCATTGTTAAAGTAATATTGTATTTAAATAATATTGTTTTCCACTCTATATAAGTATTAGAAAATATTTTGTACCAAATAAAAATAACTATTAATATGAACAGCACAGTTATATTCACATTCTTCACTTTGACAGGGATTAAAAAATGTATTTCTATGCGGGTTTGCGATAAAGTCACTGCCCCCATTTAATGAGACGGAACCAAGATAACATACAGAAAAACATAACGTATAGAGGAATATTCCTCGGACAGGAAAAGCTGCGATAAATGGTTTTTTTTTAATGTGATGTACATAGTTTTTAAACTGGATAGGAATATGTTATGCTAGGGACAATCTTAAGAATTAATGAAAATAAATAAATAAAATAAAATAAATGCTTGCATAAATAAAAATCATTTAAGAAGTTATGTAGGAAACCCATTATTTCAATGATTCTCTTATATAAGAGCTTAATTAATTATTTATTTTAAGGGTGCCGTATTTAAGGGATGTAAATAAAGCAATACTTTAGGAACCTATATACACTTTCCAGTATTTCAAAAACTTCCGAATATACGACTTATCAGCTTAAAATTATAACTCAAACGACGGACATTAAAAAATTATACATGCCGCTGATAAGGTTGCATATAAAAATTCAACAAATCATCTGGAAAGCATTTACTCAAACAGAACTATCTTTAAATGTTAGCAATATAAAGAGTAAATCATGCCAGAAGACTTTCTCCTTCTACGATACCATTTATTTCCATTTCACACATCTAACTTGTAAGGTCTTTGTTCATATTTACTTTAGGAGAAAGATCAAATTTCGACTACTCCCTACGGCTTTATGACATCTAACACGCATATATAGTCGTCGTGTAATTAACAGTGTTTATCTAATTGAATATCCAGTTGGCGTTCGAAAGCCTTAACTATGATTCAATGCACTCAAAAATAGAGGTCTGCCTTGACGAACCCAATAGAACTTTGTCGTGTCTTTTGGTGAATAATAGCCGTGCATCAAGATAATGCATTGAATGCTAATGCAAATGCACTTGGGATGGCTATTCAGCTGGGCAATATATATACATACTATATAATGCCATATAAGGAATATAATAATGAAAATGTGCGGTCAAATGCAAGTGGAAAGGGGTGAAGGGCGAATGCGACGATGCAGGCTACTTCTTTGCAAGGATGTGTGTTCGTGCAAGTGTTTCGAGGACATGTATTTTTGCGGTGGCAAATTTATACATCACAAGGGTGTTAGCGTGTGTGTGTGTATATATCCCAAGAGGGGTGTTTTTTGGAGGTGGGCGGTGGCGGGGCGGATGAGTGTGTCAAGTTCCATTGAGGCGAAATGCTTCTGCTGCAGCGTCAGCGTAAAATTGCAATCGCTTTGCGGATACGGATACGGATACACAGATACAGATACAGATACGGCCTCACAGATACACAAACACAACAAACACGCGAATGGCTTGCCAACGTTTTTTCCGGACGCACTTTAAAAATTTGTCAACACCCTGCGTCAGGATATTCATCCAATATTTAGGCCACACACTCACTTGGTCTTGGTCTTTGGTCTTTGACTGGAACTCATCGTCGCACCATATTGATTGCAGCAAATACATAAATATTTGTTGTGTGATTTTCAGCAGCACCTCCTCAACCAGGAATCGGCGATGCGCGACTCCGGTCGTAGTTCTTAGTCCTTGCCAGCGGAACGGATAATGCGAGCGCACACAGGGTACGAGTGCCTGCCAGCGAGCAGCGCGCAGAGCGTTCCCTGCTCCTCCGACGACCACGGGGCGAATGACGACGACGCCACGACCCGTTGGCCAAAGCCGATGTGAGATTTTTTACACTCTCATCGTTGGAGCAACAGCAGCAACCAGCACAGCACAGAGAGAAAATTAGGTTTAAGATAAGTTCATATGTTTATTAGCACTTTACTTTTTTTATATATTTATTTCAGACAAATTCACGAGGCTATCTATTTTATCTTTAAATACATTCATTCATCACATATTCATCGCTTGGGAAAAAGAATTAATTTATAATAAAATTGTTTACTTATTTAAATTTTCATTGTTTTAATTTAATAAATTACAATTGTAATTGTAATAAATTACAGTTAAATAAAATTAATATCCATTAATGATTAAAGATTTGAAATCTCTTAGGGCTTAGAATGCTCTAAGGAAATATGTATCATCCTTGAGAACACATATTACTTTTATAGTATGTTTAAATTTCACATATTAAGCATAGTTTTCAAAATCTTTTAAAAGTTTTTGAAAGCTCTAGAGACTTTTGTAGCACCTTCAGCAATAAATATATTTATAAATATAAATACAAATATTTCCTTAGTTATTTTGTTTATAATTTATTTAGTAGTATACTCTAATGATTAATTACTAGCTGGATTTCTAAAACTTTCGTAAGTAATGTCACCTCCCCTTAAGTAACAAATCTCTCAAGCTTAGAATATATATTTTTTCCACTGGATTAACTAATTAACTGACCCACCTGATTACCATTAATGATTACGTAATACTTATGGGCGGAACCCAAGGATACGATGGCCATCCTCGCCCTGAAAATCAGGAGGAGAAGAAGCGATAAAAATTCTAATTTGTCTGATACAGGCAATTTATCGATATGTTTGGTGTGATATCATAACTGTGATATCATCGTTAGTTGTGACGACGTTTTTTTTGCGAGTGCAGCAGCAACAGCTACACACACACAAGCGAGCAGGCGGCATGACATACGGGCTGCACTCGTTGTGTGCGTTTCCCGAAAGTATGCAATGTTTATTTGCCAATTGTCAGTCGCACAGTTTGACACTCACTGAGCGTGCGCACTTTGCAAGCATTTGCAGCACGTGCTGTGCCGCTATTTTGCACGCTCTCTCCCCACTCTCTCCCATTCTCTTAACGCCATTTCTCCATCGGCACGCACTCTATACACACTTGTTGGTTCTGCAGGTTCGTGTGTGTGTGTTTGTGTGGGGGTGGGTGGTATTTTCGCCAAGTGCCTGCCGGAAAATTATAGCAAGGTGCCGCTGCTTATCCGCAGGCAAGGTCATTCGCAAAAAAAAAGAAACAAAAACAAAAGGAGAAACACAAAAGTAAACAAAGGAAAGGGAAGTAAGGTAATAAAATGAAGATAGGCTCGAAATTTAGTAGATACTATGATAACAAATATAGAATAACACACAATAGTACCGAAACACTTTTTGTTAAGAAAGGTACTAATTTCTTAACAAAAAGTGTTTCGGTACTATCTTTACTTAAAGAATTGTATTTTATTAAATGAGGTTCGGCGGCATTTTTTTAATCTTAAAAACTTGATTTCATTAATTTAAAGATTATTCATTTCTTTTAAAGATCTAAATACAAGATAAATAAATTACTAAATTAAAAGAGGAACATAGGAATGAATTAAAACAAAAAACCAATGTAATAAAATGAAAAATATAATTAAATTTTTAACAAATCTGATAGGTTTTAAAGACTATTTGCTTGTAGATTGTTAATCAAATAAAATATAAACAAGAAAGGAAGGAAACCGAAGTTTGTATGCCCTTGCAGTTTGCAATAAGATCCATTTAATCGTATTTGAAAATTATCTCACTCATAACAAAGCGAAATTTAAAATAATTTTAATTAGGGTGTGTTTTTGTTTGTTTTTATTAGCTTAAAAAACGATACCAGGTTTGATTGTTTAAGTGAATTGTTATTGAATATTTGAACATTAAAAAAATATAATTAATTTATTTCTTATGAAGGTGGTCAGGTCTATTTGACTGTTGGCTTGGTAAAATAATAATAATACCCTGCCAGTCTATAAAAATACTCCATTCATTCAGACGCATAAAGATACTTGAAGCTCTATCACAAATCATAAATCAAAAAGGTAATCTCTTAAATAAACAAACCAATTACAGTCGGATTTTCGCAAGTGACATTTCATATTTTTAATCACTTTAAATATAACCAAGTCTAACTGTTTTCAATTGATTATAAATTATTTATGGGCTCAATAAAGAATTAAATCTGACTTATCTATAATATTTCTAATGGGCGTGGCACTTTGCACTTGTTTTCTATACTGCATATAGATCCCTTTTGTATTGTAAATATTTAAATCTAATCAAGTTGCGTTGAAGCAGAGATAGACTGAACAAGAAGTCGTAAATCCTGGAAAAAGAATAATAATCGGGTTCAAAATACGCAAAGAAAAGTTATACTTTTCATGTTCTAATTATAAAATGAAATCTTGGGGCTTTCGATGGTTTACAAAGAAATGTAAATACTTGTATATGTTTGTTCTACATGTTTTATTGGAAATAAAATAAGTTTTATTCTAGGAATAAAATACAAAATACACTCAGATATAATTTTATATTATATTAAATAAATATATTAATAGGTGACATAAATAATTTCAAGGATGAATCTAAAGTTTGTTAAGTTTGTTATCTTGTTATGATTATATCCAGTTGATAATCTTTCATTTAATTTATTATAATATTAGTTTTCCTAAATTTATTATCTTTTTTTCTTATGTGTAAAGTTTAAGCAGAATTTCAATTTTAATTGCTGGTAATAGTCCCCAGTATCTTCTAGTTTTCCAAGTAACACTCTACGGTCTCCTCTTGACCTGACTCCATTTATTACCTGCTCCACCAGAACTTGACCAATATATTAGATCGTTTGGGCTTATCGGCCACTTGTCCGGTCGGACACTGATTATATATGACCCACTCTGGCTTGGTCAACTCTCTCCGGGCTGGTATAAGTATACCTGAGTCTTCTACGGATACCTCAAGTTGTTCCAGCAACATGAAACTGTTCGTAGCTATTCTGGCTCTGGCCGTGGCCTCGGCCTCCGGTGCCGCCATGCCCTCTGGCCCAGGCTCCATCCAAAAGGCGGTTCACACCAAGGATATGCAGGGTCGTATTACCAACGGCTACCCAGCTGAGGAGGGTAAGGCCCCTACACCGTCGGCCTGGGCTTCAGTGGCGGCTGGTGGTGCGGTGGCTCCATCATTGCCCACGAGTGGGTCCTCACCGCCGAGCACTGCATCGGAGATGCCGCATCCGTGACCGTGTACTTCGGAGCCACCTGGCGCACCAATGCCCAGTTCACTCACTGGGTTGGAAACGGCAACTTCATTAAGCACGGTAACGCTGACATCGCCCTGATCCGTATCCCGCACGTGGACTTCTGGCACATGGTCAACAAGGTGGAGCTGCCCAGCTACAATGATCGCTATAATGACTACAACGGGTGGTGGGCTGTGGCCTGCGGCTGGGGAGGCACCTACGACGGCAGCCCCCTGCCCGACTACATGCAGTGCGTGGATCTCCAGATTATGGACAACTCCGAGTGCGCCAGCTACTATGGATCTGGCACCGTTGGCGACAATATCATCTGTGTGCGCACTCCTGACGGCAAGTCCACCTGCGGTGGAGACTCTGGCGGCCCCCTGGTTTCCCATGACGGCGGCAAGCTGGTGGGAGTCACCAACTTTGGATCAACTGCCGGCTGCCAGTCGGGCGCTCCTGCTGGCTTCCAGCGAGTCACCTATCACTTGGACTGGATCCGCGACCACACCGGAATTGCCTACTACTAAAGATCTATCTTTTCTTGAATAAATAATATTTCAAATGCAATGGTTAATTATATTTTTAGTAACATTATTATTGGGAGTAAAAATGTATAAAATTCATGGATATATGCTATGGATTAGCAGAAGAACCAGATAACTCTTTGCAAGAATACAATTTAAGGGTTTATAGAATCTCTTGGCTGTCTCTCGATCTTCATCTGATAGATCAATGCACAGATCAAGGCATTATCTTGGGCATCCTTTTGTGATATTTCTCGAAATGGGAGAAGCAGAAAATTAGTTAGAAATCTCTGTTAAACTAATAATTCTATTAACTTAATTATCCTTACAATAATGACCAGGAACTGAATTTGCCATTAAACTATCATGAAATTAATACTAAAACTTAGAGAATAATAATTTATACCCTTTATTCTATTAATCTCCCGATTGTTTTCATTGCAGATATATTGAAAGTCTTCTAATTTTCACAAAATATAAATCAAAATTTTTTAAATATTAAAATTATGATGACAACATAGGAAATTATAATATTCCTTTCCTTGAATTTATCAATTCCTCCCATGACAGCTATATGATTAGGTAAACTTCCATTAAAAAACATTAATAATTTCGCTTCAAATATAATTTATTCAATCAATGTTCCATATTTATTAATAAGCAACTCCGGTGTGGTCGCGGATCCAGTCCAGGTGGTAGGTCACGCGCTGGAAGCCAGCGGGATGACCGGCCTGGCAGCCGGAGCCAGACACCCAGTTGGTGACTCCCACCAGCTTGCCGCCGTCATGGGTGACCAGGGGGCCGCCGGAGTCTCCGCCGCAGGTTCCCCTGCCATCAACAACGCGGATGCAGATGATGTTGTCACCAACGATGCCGGTGCCGTAGTAGTTGGCGCACTCGGAGTTGTGAATGATCTGGACATCGGCGCACTGGAGCCAGTCGGGCAGGGGGCTGCCGTCGTAGGTGCCTCCCCAGCCGCAGGCCACGGCCCACCATTCGTTGTAGTCGTTGTAGCGATCATTGTAGCTGGGCAGCTCCACCTTGTTGACCATGTGCCAGAAGTCCACGTGCGGGATACGGATCAGGGCGATGTCAGCGTTGCTGTGCTTGATGAAGTTGCCGTTTCCAACCCAGTGAGTGAACTGGGCATTGGTGCGCCAGGTGGCTCCGAAGTACACGGTCACAGAGTCAGCGTTTCCGATGCAGTGCTCGGCGGTGAGGACCCAGTCGTGGGCAATGATGGAGCCACCGCACCACCAGCCGCCGCTGAAGCCCAGGCCAACGGTGTAGGGGGCCTTGCCCTCCGTAGCCGGGTAGCCGTTGGTAATGCGACCCTCGATCTTGGACACCTTGGGCAGGTCCTTGGGGTGGACCACGCTGTTGATGGCGGTGGCGGAGGCCGAGGCCACAGCCAGAGCCAGGAAAGCTACGAACAGTTTCATGTTGCTGGAACAACTTGGTTCGAAGGGGCTGGCTTTGCCGCTTTTATACCCCCGACTATCGCGATCGTAAAACTCTGTTTTGATAATTGCCGAGATAATTATTAAAGTGAAATACTAAATCAATGTTCTCTGATCACAAGTGGGTGTTTCCTATGCATATTTGTTAAACTGATTAGCAGGGGATCTATATTCCGTTTGAGGGAGGTAATATCACGTATACGCCCCTTTATCCAGGGTTCTTACATACATATATGGAAGAAGTGTAATAAAACTTGGAGTCTACTGGGAATTTAAGAGGTGGATGATTATAATTTACAATAAAATAATAAAATAAAATGATAAAATGTATAAAAGTAAATGCAGTGTATAAAATACTTGATTATCAGTTGAGACCTGTCACATTAACCTTAAAAGGTCAGAAAAGGTTCTCAGTATCCTAGTTTATACTTTATAATGTGACTAACTGTTCCTTATATAAATCCTAAGTGCTTTTTATATTAATTTCCATTATTTTGGGAATTGGATTCTTGGACTATTTACTTATTACTTAATATTTTTAATATTACCTAAGTGGGTACTCGAGTATTGCCTTTGTATTTAAAAAAAAATGTCGCCTTAAAGAAAGCTATATTTTTAACTTCCTCTCCTTACAGTTTGAAGTCAGGAATAGTCCTCGAATTATCTGAGGTTGCTTATTAGTGTAAAAAAATTTTGAGATTTGTTAAGGTTGTTTGCTAATTATATTTATTATTTTACTATACTTAACTAAATTGATGTCTTACTATTTAATTAATTCTGATAATGCTATTAGTTAGTTGATCATACTGAAAATTGCTGAATGTTTAAGGGACTATTTTATAGTCTTAAAGGAAAAGATATGTAAACCTTTCTTTTAAAGCCAACAAAAATATTAAAAAATTCATAAAGTAAAATTAAACAATAGCTTTAAATCTTTGACCTGCAAAACCAAAATAAACCCACTAATAAGTACACAGAATTATTATTTTTTCAATAGTTTTCTAAAATAGATTTTTATTGTCATTTCATTCGTTGTTTGTTTTTGTTTTTACTTGTTTTTTTTGTGTAGTTTTACCGTGATGCTTTGATGACTTTGAGAAAAGTGTGTGAGTGCCACTCACACTTACATAAATACATTTAATAAACTATATAGGGGATAAATGTTTGATCTGATTGCGCTATGTGGTTAGCTTTAGATACCCTACGTTTCTTTAAAGGCATTATCAATTCGTTTATCATGTACATCGAACACGTTTACTCTTATTTACAAAATAATTATCGATAAAAATGCATCATTTCATGGTTTTTCTTATTTTTCATCACTCGTGTGTGCGTGTGTGTGTGTTTGTGTGTGTATGTTTTCCTTGAATAAATTAGAAAATTTCATAGAACTAGGCTAAATGAAGAAATCTTCCATTCGAGTGTGTGTGTTGGTTTTTGGGTGATGTTTGGGGTATAAATAAATAGTTTCTTGATGGGCCAGATGAGTAGAATAAATAGTCGAAATGGGGGCGAGAGTGTGGGTGTGTGTGTCGTTTTAGTGTGTGCTTTAGGGTTACGCCCAGTGGCGCAATTGACAAACATCACTGGCTCAAAGGGGAGGAACCGGAAGTCCCTTCCCCCTTGCTAGCAAGGTGGCAATTGGGCGTGGCATGGGCGCAGCTAAGGTCATAATAAATAAATAAATAAATGTTGTAAATATCCACTTAAATGCTAGGCAAAAATCGTGTTTCAATGCGTCTGGGATATAAATAGGCGATAGTGCTGCGAGTGTGTGTTGGGTTTCGGATGTTGGATATTGGATGTCAGATGTCGGAAGACAGTGGTTGTTGGCAAAAGCTCGGTCAGTCAGTCGCTGACCGGAAGTCCCCTTTACGGGGGTCAGGGTACCTCCACATCTCCAAAGGATCCTCTCTACCACAGCGGCATGGGACGTTGCCGGGCCAGGAAGGCGGGCAGACTGGCGGCAGTTGGGGCGGGACAACCTAAAGGATACAAAGAATATATAGGTTAATCGTATTCCTTATTTTCCCACTACCCAAAGTTACTTACGGCACACAGCGCAGGTCTGCTCGTCGGTACCATCACCGCAACCATCCCGTCCGGAGCAGACAATGGCCGTGGAGCGGCACAAACCATTGCTGCAGCGGTGCGGGCAGTAGGCATCCGCCTCTCGCCTTCCGCCCAGCAGGCCACCGGCCTCGATCAGGCGCATGAAGAGATTGGGCACGGACCGGGAGCCGCACAAATGCGGCGGCTCATCGCTGCCGTCCTTGCAGGACACAATGGCATTGCAGTACTCGTACTCCGGCAGGCACTCACCGCTGCCGCAGCGGAACGTGTGCTCTGGACAGGCGTTGCCTCCTCGGTGGCTGCCATCGCAGCCCAGCTCATCCTCGCCATGTGGACACTGGCGCCTGCCATCGCAGAGCGCTGCCCGCGAGATGCAGCGTCCACTACGCTGGCAGCGGAAGGACTCCGCCGGACAGCTCTGGTTCAGGCGGGCATTGTGGGTGCACTCCTCGTCGGAGGCGTCATTGCAATCGGCGCGGCCGTCGCATACGAAGAACCATGAGATGCAAACGCCACTGGAACGGCACTGTAAAGTGGGTACAACACAAATTAATTCTCTTTCTTGGATTTCTATGAAAATCTAACACTCACCTGGAAGGTTCCAGGACTGCATCCGGTTCTCTCGGCACCGCATTGTTGCTCCTCTCCGCTGGCAGAGCAGTCACACACTCCACGTCCATTGCAAACGGTGTGAGGATCAGCCAACTGGCACTGGCGATCGTTGCTGCAGGCCAATCCCAGGGAGACAGCCTCCAGGCCAAGATCCACGCGCTTACGCAGCTCCGAGCCGGGTTTGCTGGCAGCAGGAGCAACGGAAGCCGGGGACACGGGCTCCGGAGTGGGCTCATCGGCGGCGGTCATTAGGGGCATCAGAGTGGTCACCACGGGAGCGGCGGGTTCCATGAGGGTCACACGACTGGCCAGACCCAGCATGGTCTGAGTGGTGATCTCCACAATGCCGGCGGGATTTGGAGTGGCTTCCTCATGGGCAACGTTATGAGCCACAGGCTCCTGCTCAATGTGATTGCTGTCGAGTTCCTGCAGGCCATCGATGGTGGTGGTGGACTCCACGATCAGGTTATCGGATTCCAGCTCATTCAGGCGGATGGGAACGGATTGATCGTTCAGGTCGAAGGGTAGTTCCTCGGGGACAGAGTGTGCTCCTCCTCGGGCTCGGCTTCCTGTTCCAGTTCCTTCTCCGTGGTGGCTTCTGTTTGGGCTTCTTCTTCGATTTCCTCCTGATTGGCTGGCTCTGGTTCTTCCTCATCCTGCTGGGGTTCCTCCTTGACAGCCTCTTCCTCCGCCTGCTGCTGCTCCTTCTCAGCCACAGGAGCGGATGTCACCTGCTCCTCTTCCTCGGCTGCCTCATCATTAGCTGCCTCAGCAAACAGATCTGGAATGGCAGGCGCTGGCTCCTCGGCTTGTGGCACTTGCTCCACATGGTCATGGGTTTCGTCAGCTTCGGCCACGAGATCGGAAATAGCAGCATGGGGCTGCTCCTCCTCGTTCTCCGAGTTGGCCTCTACCATGGGTACCGTTTGGGCGGGCTGTTGGCCAAATGGAACCGGTGGCACGGTGCTGTCGCCCTCCAGCATCAAATCGCTGAGAATGTCGGCGATGCTCTCGCTCTCATGGAAGTTCTGGGGATGCTCCTGATCCAGTTCGTCACTCACAATGGCACTGGGCGCCTCCTGGAGTTCAGGAGCCACTGTGGACTCTGCTTCCTCTTCATCTTCTTGCTCAGGGGCTGCAGTGGTTTCTTCTTGCTGGGCGATCTCCTGGAGATGTTCGATGCTGGTGTAGTCCAGCTCGTGTTTGCTGGCCTCCTCCTCCTCCTCTGCGGGCGCTGCTTCGGGAGTAGCTGGTGATTCTTCCTGGGCCTTAGGAGGAGCGGAATCCTCTGCTGGCTCCTCTGAGTGCTCCTCCGCTGGCTCTGGAATAACCTCTTCCTGGGGAATCGGTTCTGCTCCCTGAATTATGTTGTCATTCTCATTCTTTTCGACCTCCACTTCATCCAGCTGGGGCTTGATCTCCTCCTGAGTCTGGGCACTTTCACTGGCTTCGGTTTCAGGTTCGGTTTCTGGCACAATCTCCGTCTGCGCGGATTCCTCAGTGGCTTCCGGCTCGATATCAGCATCGCTCTTAATTGGCTGCTCTGGCTTACCTTGATCGGTATCCACCTGCGACACCTCATCATTAGCGGGCTCTGCTTCTGGCTCTTGGATCCTCTCAGTTACCAATGACTGCTCCACCTCCTCCTCCTCCTCCACCCCGATCTCCGTTTCTGTGGCCGTCTCTGGCTCGGGTAACGCCTCTGCCTGGGGCTCTGCAATTGCTTCCGACACTTCGGGCGTTTTAATTGCATTTGCATTTTCCTCATCGGCCTCGGGCTCATGCTCCTTCTCCGTCTCCTTCTCCTCCTCTTCCTCCTCTTGGGGCAGTGGCAGCTCGGTGGTGATCTCTAATTCTGGTTCTGGTTCCGCTGCTGCCTCTGGTTGCTCTGTGGTCAGCTCTGGCTCTGCTTCTGCCTCCTCCAGTGGCGCCAATTCATCATCATTTGTTGGGTATGTCAATTGTTCGTGCTCCGCTTCGGTGATTGCCTCCACCTCCTGCTCGGTCTCTGTCTCCGTCTCCGTCTCCGCCTCTGCCTCAGTGTCGATGTCTTGGACTGGTTTCTCTGTTGTGGCTTCATCTGCATCTTGATGGACTTCTTCATCCACCTGCTCGGGCTGGCTCTCCTCCTCGTGCTGCTCTGCCCCCTCCTCCTGCACAGCTGGCTCGGTGACTTGGTCTTGATTTAATTGATTGGCTTCATTTAAATCATCCTCGCCACTTGTCGGCTTGATGTCGGCGCTTTGTTCCACCTGATCGGTCTCAGATCCAGATCCAGATTCAGCTGCAGCTCCCGACTCCATCTCTGGCCTCTGACTGCCTTCGGTGGCCAGAGGTAGCTCCACATCTGTGGCTTCGGTCGGAGTTGCTTCTGCTTCCGCTACTTCTTTTTCCATTTCGGTTTCTGGCTCCTCTGGTTTTCCCACCTCGACTTGGCTTTCACTCTCCATTTGCACCGAGGCTGGTTCGCTGACGGTCGCTGGCTCCTCCTGCTTGGGTGGCTGCTCCTCCTCGTGGTGGGCCACAGCTACTTCTAGCTCATGATCCCCCGAGGCCATGTGCTCCTCCTCTTGCTCCACCTCGTTGTCAGCTGCCTTCGTCACACTTTCGGTTTCAGGTGTAGCATTAACTGGGATCAGTTCCTCGTCGGCCACCGTCTGGGCTGTCTCCGGCTCTGTCTCCTCCTCGAGAAGCTGCGTCTGGACCGGCGGTTCGCTGGTGCTGGCCTCAGCATCAGTCTCGCTCTCGGCATCAATGGGCACCACCTCCTCATTAGTCTGCGGCACCTCCTCCTCCTCTTCCTCCTTCTCGGGTTCAGCTTCGTAATCGAATTTCATGGTGTCGTCGATTGGCGATGAGGCAATCTCCTGATTACCCGAGGCTTCCTCCTCCTCCTCCTCGGCTTGTGGTGCCTCCACCTCTGCGACAATCTCCTGATGCTCGGGCTGCTCACCCGTTAGTTCCGGCTTGTGGCTATCATGCTCTTCCGCGTACTCCTCGTCGATCTTGTAGGGATAGTCCTCGGTGGGCCCAGCCTCGGTCTCTTGCTCCGCAGCAATGACATTCTCGGTGGGCACATCGGCGGGTGTGAGCAGCTGCTGAACCCCAGTGGTGGCATCTTGAGAGATCTGGGTGAGTTCTGGCTCCTTTGCAGCCTCTTCATGGTGTAGCTGCTGCTCCTCCTGGTTCTGCTGTTGTGTCAGTTCGGTTTCCTCATGGGCCATGTCCACAGCCTCCAGTTTCTCAACGTTTTCCACCTCGGCTACCTCGGGTCGTAACTTAGTGCTCTGGCCATCATCCTCCTCCAAGGATTGCTCCTCAACACTGGCGGGCAGCTCATCTTCCAGCAGAATGGGAGCAGCTGTCGTCGTTGTCGTTGTTGTCGTCGACGGGGTGGTCCTTCTTGTGGTTGTTGTGGGCGCAGGTGTTGTGGTCGTGGTCGTCGTTGTTGTCGTTGTGCTCGTAGTGGTTTTCCTTGTAGTGCTTGTGCTAACTGGTTGTTCCACCTTCTCAATGGCCTGATCCTCCTCCTGCTGATCCGCCGCCGGGGCCATGCAGAGACCACCGATCATCTTGGCGGGACTTGTGCACTGGCAGCGTCCGAACAGATTCGGGATAAGGAAGTCACAGTGGGTGCGGGTGTCGAACATTTGGCAGTGGGCGTGGCTGTAGCAAACGGCGCCAGGATGGGCAGCTGTGGGAAAACGGATAGAGGGGAAAGGAGGTTGAGAAATTGCGGAAAATTCTCGTGAGATCCGGATCGAGTGTGTTTGTGTGTTTTGAGTCATGTTATTAAGTTAACCGTAAACCGTAAACCGAACTGCAAGCACCAAATGCATATTAAAAACTCATCATCATCATCATGAGGAGCCACACCAGAACATGGAGGAGAACAAGAACCACATCAGAGCATTAGCCCGCCTTCGACAAGCCTAATAACCGTCAATAAAGTCAACTGCAACTGCATCAACCTCAACGCATCGTGGCCAAAACAGAATCCCAAAGAAGAGACGAGAATCCGTCCAGAGAGCAAAATTATATATTACAAGAATTGGGAGGTACTTGAAGAAATATACAAGGATTTTCCATAAAAAATTTGCTACAGTTTCCTCTAATATATTTCATACAAACTATATATATTTTAGCTGACATTCAGAGGATAATTTTGATAGGAAATCTTGTTGTTTTTATAAACCTAAGTATCCTAAGCAATCGAGAGATTTCTCCCTGTGCATTACTATGATACTCGTAGAAGGGGAACAGATGGGAACCAGAAGATGACGCTGAAACGTCGTCGGTGACGTCGCCCATTCCCATTACCGTTCCTCATCAGCATTCCACTCGCCGATAACTGGCTGAAAGAGCTTGGTGACTACAACCACGAATGCAACTGCAGGCCAAGACTGGAGCCGAGCCACCTGCGTGTCTGCCACTGTCCTCCTCTGGAATCTCAGCTCTGACCCACTTTCCGGACTGCCGCTCCAACTTGTTTTCACTTGTTTCGTTTTTGGTTTTGCCAGCAAACTAGCAAACTTGCAACAGGCAGCAGGCAACTTGCAACTTGCATTTCACTGAACAAGGCAGCCGCCGAAGCCGCCGCTGCCACCTGCATTTGCCCTTTGGGCAGTGTCTGGCCACGAGATCCATTCCCATTTGGCGATCATAAATCGGTATGCGAAATATATACCCTTCATCCTGTGGCCCAAGTGGAAAAGTTCGTTTTTCTCGCGGGAATTTCGGCCACGGACAGATCTCCACAAGTCCCCAAAGAGCCTTCTGTCGGCATTTCACAAAAGGCTCTCCGCTCCATTGGCCATTGGGGAACCGGTCGATCGGTGGAGTTCGTGGCACATGAAAGGCAAACGGCCATGGCCATCATGGCGTATACTTAACGAATGCACCGCCACTGACACCGGCCAATGGCCAATTCCAAATGCGAGTAGCTCGGACTTGGTCTTTACCGCAGCATTTGTGACACCAATATGGAGCCAACGCGGAGCAGGAAGAATCGCATGAGAAGGAGTGACTCCAAATACTTGGCCTCTCATCTTTCACTTTTATATAACAGCATTAGACGAGGGGACACAAGGCGGTAAATTGTTACTTAGGAAAGGAATTTATGGAGCTCTTTTAATAGATTTAAATATATCCAAGATACAAATAGTATTTGGGTAAAATATGTTTACAATAATAGGTTAAAGCTCTCATTTGCTTTAAATTTTTCAAAAGATTAACTAAAAGTTGAATCACATATATGTACTTAAAGTTCGATTATGAAACCTTTTCTAAAAACCTAAGATTTCATTATACTATTTCTCTGTTTCCTTTCTATACTGCATTCTATGTAAAACCTCATTTGTATTTGTATTATTTGATATAGGTCTAAGAGGCCTAACTAAATCAGATTTCTCTCTGTGCATCAACATTGTTTTTTTCTTCCCAACATGGGGCATGGAACGACGCCTCTGATCGATGTGGCTGCCTGGGGGCAATGCCAATGCCACGGCCACTTAGCGTTGTTGCCGGTGCGACAGGTTGCATGCGAATCGCTGCACGACTGCCACTGCTAACCTAACCCACTTCGATTACGGCCAGAGCTGGTGCTGCTGGATGCTGCTCCGATCTCCGAGAGATCACCGGGGCGATACCCAGCGAATGGCGAACTGAATGCGAGAGCGACGCGTGTGAAAATTGCTGTGTGTGGATCGGCGGGGAGCTGGCATCATAAACAATAATTTGCATCGAAATCAGCATAAATTAAATCGCAGCTTCCTCTGCGGGCGCTGTCTTTGTTCGAAGTCGCCGCCGCCGGTGGCCGGAATCGCAAATAGCAAATCGCAAAACTGTGTCAACTGCCTGCCACACGCACAGCCACAGCCACAGATACAGATAAAGATACAAATGATAGATACTAGCCATAAGATACGAAATGTATCCATCCATCTGCGGCTGCAGCATTCCTGCGGCTATAATAAGTCTATTTATGCCGCCGACTTTCATTATATGAAATAACCCGGGGACGCTTTAATTAATTGAAACCATTTGCATTTGGTGGAAATGGTAAGTTGTCTTTTATTTTCCGGAAGTTGACCGAAAGCGGCGGGGTGCCACTTCTGTGTGTGTGTTTTGGTCGTTCCACATAATTTGCATGCAATTTGGCATTTGGCGCAATTTAGTTTGAAATGGCCAATTCAAGAAGCATTTCTTTCGTATATTTTTCTTTCTTGAATTTTTTGGCTTTGTTTTTCTTTGTCTGTAGCCGCAAATTAACACAGTTTGACTTTGACTGGCTGAGTTTGTGGGTCATGCGAAATGAAATGGAATTTTTCAGCGGTTTTCGGTAGTTTTCGTTCGTTTTGGGTCTTTCTCTCTTTCCATTTTTATATTATTTTTGGTGCAAGGTGTCGCAATGGAAAGTATTTTCCCTGCTTTTTTTTCTGGCCTGGCCTGGCGAAGGTGTTGAGGCTGCACGAAAGTGAGCTGAGTTTTTGGCGAGGAGAGTGACTAGGAGATTTTCTACAGCTTCTCAGGCTCAGCTTCTGCCAGTGCCTTATATAATGAGACTCGACTGGGATTTCGTAGCGGAAAAGCCGAAGAAATACATGGAAAATGTGTTTGAAGAACCTATACTTCTTTTAAGATTATTTATGGAACATTTGTATAGGCATTTTGCATGAACATTGCATTTATTTGTATTAGGAATTTAGAATTTGCTTCAGAAAACTGTTAAAATATTAATTTAAAATCATCTTTAATTCGGGAAATTTAATAAGTTCCCTGAAAAAGGTAATATTAATGATTTTGAGACAATTTTAAATGAACTTGCTTGGGAGAAACTTCAAGATAATGAGATACAAGATACTGATACTTAGCTCATCAAAAACATATTTTAAAGCTGACTTTTAATATCTAGATTCTTTCCTCCTCTTTTTTGTTATATATTTAAGTTTCCTAAGCAGTTTTCTCTATCAATTTTCTTTCAGTGCTCTTTGTGTGATCACCGATGTCAGAGCGGTTCACTTTTCCTGCAACTTTGTATGCAGAAGATCTCGATCATGCGAGACAGTGGCTCAGGTTCCAATGTTTGGTCGGTTAGTCTGCGGCTATATGTTTGTTCATTATCTGAACGAGTGTATATATATATATTTAGGCATATGTATTTGGCATACTTTTACGCTCTGGAGGCTGGGTAAAACGGGGAGAGTGGAGTAGACCATTCCGAAGAACCAAATGCATAACTCATAAAGATGGGAGGAAGTGCTCATTGTTGCTGGATTGCTGGATGGCCGAATGGCTGGAGGTGGGCTCGTTAAACAGCCACAAAAACGGGCGAGTTAAGAGCCAATCCCGGAATGGGCTTGGGCCTGGGTTAAGGTGCATGGGAAACTGGAACAAGTGGCCAAGAGCGGAGCACCGAGCGCCAAGAGCTGAGGAGAGCTGAAGAGCGCGGAGAGCGAAAAAGCCAAATGGAAAGAAAGCCTGACAAGCTCACAAAAATCTGGCACACCACTTGCTTCACTTGACCCGCGACTCAGATGGAGATGGAGGAGCAGAGCCGGCAGGGAGATGGCGATAGGATGAAGTGAATGGCCAATCCCAAATGTGTGCAACATTTTTGTCAACTGCAACTTTGGCCTTACTCTCTCTGTGCGAGAACTAATTGGACTTTCTTGGACTTTCTTCCTTTTGCTAATCAGTGCAATTTAATTACGAGAGGATCGGAGAGGAGGCAATTAGCCATGTAAAGTAGGCACCGCTGGGCGATAGCCATCGAAGGGGCTAAGCCAGGATATTCCCATATAGTATCGTCTTGTCTCTCCTCTAATGGTGAAAGGTTCCTCTTTCTTTTATTGTGTGTTTCGGTGAAAGTATCTCTCATAAATGAGCGCGGGCTCACCTGGCCGCTTTGGCCTCAAATTACGCTTAATTAAATACGAGAGCTCACTCTCGGCTCGGCCAGCAGCAGCAGCAGCTGTCCTGCCCATATATATTGAGTTCTTATGCCATATAATTAAGTCGCCAGAGTCTGCAGTGCCACATCAGGTGAACGGCAATGACACGAACTGCTCCACGATCGTGCCCCAGTGGAGTGGCCCCTCGATTCTAGTCAACATTCTAATCAGATTAACGCCACTTGGCGCCAATGTGGCAAAAGGAAGTGGAGCGAATTCCAATCGATTTCAGGGCTGACATCGAAAGGTCTCAGAAGGAACTAAAAGGGTTTGTGTCACTGTTTTTATAAGGAATATTTAAAGGAAAGGTCTTCATTTAAGTAAACTTATTTAAAGTATTTCAAGTAGCTTCCTAGAATTATTCTTTCAAATATTACCTTCTCTAAATAAGCTTTTATCTCAACTAAAATTTATTACTGCCACGTTCTTTGAATAATTTATTTAATCTTTTTCCCCCGCACAAGAAAAACTATTAACTCTATTTTTTCTACCCTTTCTTAGTCAGTCACTGAATGAATCACACAGGCCAGGGAATGATTTATATCCAACTCTAGCCATGAGTCACGGTTCCCTGGCCCAGAGCCCTGCCAGTTAAGTGAGGCTGAAGATGCATCTTTGGAGCCATTGGCCGAGTATCTTGAAAAATGTATCTTTCACACATAGCTCTGCACAAACAGAAACAGAAACTCGTAGAGAGATCGAAGCCAAACATTTGCATTTACATTTTACATTTAACGTTCAGCGTTCAGCATTCTTTCGTTTTGCGTTCTTTTTTTCGTTCCAGCACGCTGCTGGCCAGTTCTTGGAAGATTAACCAATTATGCGTATAATTAGTGACACGATTGTCTTGTTATTTTCATCGATATTGTTATTGCTATGCCCGTGTTAATTGCCGGCAGAAAGGAAAACCCAACCGAACCAAAGTGTTAACGAATGGCAAACAGGAAATGGGAGTGGACACTGAGTAGAGTACACACAGAACCAAATTGTTAATCAGAAAACAATAATCAAGGGTTACAGAGAAAGACAGTAATCTTAAGACTGAAGATGAAGGAGTTAGAAAGCTATATCTTCTCGGAAAAATAAATTATAATGAAGGGTAGGATAAAGTCTGAAGATGAGGGAGTTAGAAAGCTGCAGCTTCTTGCTGAGAACTAAGTAACTAATCTCTTTCCTATTTATAATTTTAAAAAAATCTAATATCGAAATTCTCATTAAATCCTTTCCCTTGAAACCTACATATTTTTCCTGTGTAGTTACATACTATGTGGTACTACCTCACATTGCGTGACATTCCGGTTAACTAAAGAAATGATAAGCCATCAAAGTGGGTATTATTAGTTGGCTGCCGTCCGTTTATTGCAATTCACCAAACACCGCACCGAACAGTTAATGATATCATCTAGTACTTGTGTGTATCTGTGCTGTGATGTGAGTGTGTTCTGTGTGTGGTGTGTGTGGAATTCCATGCAAACCGGGCGGATTAGGGCCACAAGACTTGGCCGGCACTTGGCGGATACTTACGTCCCAGACAGGTGTGCTTGCGGAACTGCAGGAATCCCTCGACGCACCGACAGGCTCCATCCAGACAGCTACTGTTGGCCACCTTCATGGAGCACTGTTCGCTCAGCTGGCAGTCGCCGCCCAAGAGTTGAGCTAAAGATGAAACCAAAAACAGAACAAAAACAAATCAAAAATCGGTATTTATCCTGAATTAGAGTTTATCATTAAAGGTAGCCGGGCAATCATTTTGAAAATTAACTTTAATCGTCTCATTTGACGGAAATTTCTAAGAAAACTATTGGATTTAACAAGCAATTTGAGAGTGTAAAATAAATGTAAGTGGAGGATGGAGAAGAGGGTCCATCCACAAGGAATTTTCTATTTGACGGCAAAATGTTAAGAAATAAATAACATGATTTAGACAAGAGATAATCCAATTATTAGATATCATTAAAGAGAAATGTATCTTTAATGGCGAAATTCGTTAGGTGGAATTTTCTGCGAAAAGCCAAAACCATTTTAAGAGTTGAAGATAGACCTAATAGGCTCATTAAAGCGATTTTTTTGGCTAAGGTTTTCTTAATAACTTAAAATTAGAAATCTTGTTAAAATATTTCCTAAGTAAAATAAATTAATACTAATCTCACAAATGTGAGATAGTTACTTAAATTTTTTGTCAACTAAGCCTATTTAGTTCCTTCATAAAAATGCAATACCTTCTTTAAGCCTTAAAAAATTTCCAATATAGGTATTTAAATAAGAATTGTTTTCTGTATTTAATTTTAAAATATATATATTCAATGGGAATAAGGTAAATATGGAGAATTTAAGCCCTAAGAGAGTAACCCAAATCTTGGTTACATTGTATTTCCCCTCAAGTTTCTTGTTTATATTTGACCATCAGATGATGAATCACTAATTCTTCCCAATGGAATTCCAAATTCTTTTTCTGTGTACAGAGACATGGAGAGAGTTGTGCTGAGTGCATCTAACGGGTCTTCGGTGGACAAACACACCATAGCCATCGCATCTCCATATGCAACTCCATCTCCAACTCCAACTCCGCCCATTGTTTGCTTGTGTTTGCCCGGCAAACATTCTGTATACTCCCACTTTTGGGGTTAGCCAAAGATTGACTTTGCCTACTTAGTACTTACACGACAAACAGCGCTTGGAGTCCAGCTGGACGAAGTAGGGGGCGCACTCGCAGTAACCCAATGCGGAGCAGCTGCTGCCCTTGATGAAATCCGTGCAGTCCATGTCATGCTGGCACTTGTCACCCAGTTCCAGTGCCCGGCTAGCATCAGCCACTGTGAAGATGATCAGCAGCTGGAAAAATAAGATTGGGAAGGGATATTACAAAGGGTTCTTAGGGATGTATTTAAAAATAAGAGGGATATATCTCTAAATTTGTTTCTCAATGTTTCTCTATTAAAAATTCCTTTGGAAAACTTTTAAAACTTAGTTGTATGTTGATTTTTAACCCAATTAATTAAGATATTTAATCATTTTCCCTAAGTATTTCCCACACCGCACCTTAAGCCACATAATTGCAAAAAAAAAGAAACCGTAGTGTCTTAAAGACTCGCATTCCTTCTTCCTTCCTTTCCAAACTTTTTGCTTTACCTATAAACCGCAGAGATCTGTTCTTCATAGCCCCGGCATATTCTTTTTCAATTAGGTGAACCGTTTTGCATGGGCCATTATTAAATCGAAATGAGCCAACAAATTGGACGGTCTTGACCAAGTCTTGTTCAAATGCCAAACAAATGGCTTGGGAGCACGGAATAACCTAACATAACATATATTCGTGTGGGCCCAGTAGTGTGTCCGTCGACAAAAAAGAGCCGTAAAATCCGTACTTAATCGCAGCAGCTCACTGGCTGGCTAACTCTTTTATGAATGGAGTGTGTGCGATGTGTGTAATTCTAGCTTGTAGCTACGTATCTGTCAGATACAAAGCCTTTGTTCGCCGCACAGACACAGTTAACGTTACATCCGATGCTACAGAGATACCCGAGAACTGAAAAACTGGAGTTGTAAAACAGAATTAACAGTTGCCTGAACACCGAACACACGCCCCGTCGAAGGTGGATTATATATTCTATGCCAGGCCAAGTACACTGTGGAGTGGCTTGGCCCGGGATCTATAATTAAAAAAAGAAACAAGAAATAGAAACAAACAGCAGGGAGTTAAGGGTACTAACTACTACTACTAGCCGAGTAGCTTGTATGTTTTTGGGATGTCTCGGGTCAAGTTACCCTATGTTTTTGATACCCTTTTAATGGGTATTTATTATGGCTTATAATGGTTAGGTATTATCAGGTGGGGCGTCCTTTAAAGTTGGTTTTTTCCATGGTAATGAGTGTATTAGAGTACAGGGAAAGAATTTATGCAAAGTTCTAACGAAATAACTTAAATAAAGGTTAAATAGCAGTACTTGGTAAAATCTACCTTAATTCCTATACATTTTAGTATAAGTTCTTTAAGAATATTCCCCAAAATAAATAGTATAACTTATATCTCCGCTTTATCAAACCATGAATACAACAGATACAAAAGATACTCAAGGGTATTTCAAGCCTCGGTCCAATGGACTTGGCCCTCTTCACTTGTTTTGCAGTTAGAACGCTGGCTTAGCTGGCTAATAAATAAGCTGAATTTTGTGGCCAACATGGATAGAGCTCCTCAACACACATAGACACACACATATACGAAGTGGGGAGAAGAGTGCAATGTACTTTCTGCTCATCGCGAATGAGCGCCACACGCCATTAATTACGGGCCGGCTCTCTGGGATTGGCATTACCTAACCGAAACCAAGGCACCAGCTCCATCTCCAACAGCAGCAGATACAGATACAGATACAAGTTAGGTAACTGGGTTCGGGTTCTGGGTCTTGGGTTTTTGGGTTTTTTTTTGCATACTGGCTAAAACGGTACTGTTAGATCTTCACCCCCGACTTTCTTGGTTGCTTTTTGTTGGAATTTGTTAACGCATTAAATCCAATGATTACATAAAGTTAGTCTTGGATTTCATGGGGGGAAGACCCCTGAGACTCAGCTAATTGGTAAGAACTCAACGATTCTGATTCCAATTCCATAGTCACGCAAGTCTTTGGCAAATTGTACAAGTTGAGACATTAAAAAAACACAGTTAGGATCATTTGGCGGAATGCAACATTGTTGGATTCTCTTGCCTTGATTGTGATAAATGATCAGGTGTAAATTTCAAGTCATAAACTGAAGTAAATCTAAGGATTTCGAAGTAAAATAGAGGGAGAGAAGTCCTACGTTTACTTAGGTTTTTATGGATTTTTATTACTATTTCTTTGTGATAATTAATAGTCCCTAAATACACCTCTACTTCTCTCTCATTGCAGATTGTTGTAAACATAAAAACCATTTCTGCAAAACTTTCGCCATTCTCTACTAAAAAAGTAATTTTAAACAATCAATATCAATAAATTTGTCTTCTTTTGAGTTTATTGAATAATAAATCATTTCTGATCTTTAATAATAATAAATAAAAAAGACTTTCTGCTCAAATTAGTTCAGATAATTATTTTCTTTGTGACTTTCCCCTGGTCATGAAAGCATTAAAGGCATTACAGGCAAAGTTTATTGAACAACAAAACACTGACACTGCCATTTCGAGATCTTCAAATAACAATAAATAAATAAAGTACTCAACATAATCCCCATTCAGAGGTGTTTCCTTAGAGTCTCAAGATCATTTCGCTACTCATTCGATGCTTGTCTAGTCAAAACACAGCACTCGGGCCCCGTGGCAAGCTCGGGCCCCCTCAAGAAAGCCAAAGCCAAAGCCAGGCAAAATCCATTTCCATTTCCATTCCCATTCCCATTCCCCATGAGTACACTCAATGGGAGCGGGCACTGCAAACGAGATCTCGAATGGGAAAAGTATCGGATCGAAGCTGGAGTCGGAATCGCAGCAGACTCGAATGGCCAAGAGAACCAGAAACGAAATGAAACCGTTCAAACTCGACGGCATCAATAAAATGTCAATAAACAGAGAAGAAATTGTTTAATTACGCTTTCGAGCTGGCCGCCAACTATATAGAGTGAGAGAGACAGGCTATTGGCCATTAGAGCCGAGTGCCAGTATGTGTCTTTGCCTTTGTTTGACTTGACCCAATAACTCTGGGCCAAGTTACTTTCATTGCCAGCTCATTGTCCATGGGAGGTTTGACATCGCTCCGCAGAAACGTTTCAGAGACACAGCGATATCCGAGGGATCTCCGGAGGCGGCTAATAACCGTCAGGTCGTGTCCACCCGGCCATTTGTAATCCTCCGGCCAGCCATTCGTCTTCCCGGCCTCCTGAAAGTCCACCTCCTTGTCCGTTAAAAACCCCATTCATCAGGCGGGCTTATTTATTTCTCAGCTTTCCTGGTTCTCGGATCTTGGTTCTGTGTTCTGAGTTCTCCGTTCCCTGGTTTTTGGTTTTTGGGTTTATGGTCGCTGTGCTAATGAAGACCCGTTGCAGTGGCATTTTCCCTGCACTGCACTGCACTGCAGTTATTGTAATTTAGAATCGTAAAAGAACGGCTGGCCAGCGCAAAAGGCAAAAAATAAAAAAGGAGTAAATAATTTTTCGTGTTTTACAAATTACTCTCGTACTTGTTTAATGATCGTCGGGCGCCGGACCGTCTGCTGACCTTTGGCCGGGCCAAATGCAGGTGCACACAGATGCAGCCGGTGGCCGGTGGCCGGTAGACGGTGGCCGGTGGCTATTGGCCAAGACTTAATGCACTTGGCTCAAAATGGGCTGAACGGGGCAGCGGTTGAGGGCATAGCGAAACATAATAACAAACAACATCGAAGTGGATAAATTGTTTCTTGGCCAAGATGGAGTGGAAAAAGTGGCGGAAAAATAAAGGAATACAACTGAGGAAAGCTCCAGGTGGAGCGAGAGCCCTTGGTCCATTGCATTCTATTTATTTTTTTAGCAATAGGAATAGATCAAGAATTATTAGATGGGAAAATCTAATTGAATTGTGAAAGATTCATTCATGAATCATTGATTAAATTACAGAAAAAGGAGTGCTTATTGATAATTAACACCATATTGACCTTTATTAAATTGAACATATATTTGAAAAACGAATGAGAATTACAAGATTCCTTATCGGTTTACGTAGTTTAAAAGTTAAGTACTATTAAAATTCCCTTTAGTAAACTGAAGAAAAATAAAAGAGGAAATGATATTCCATAACAATGAATAATTTGAGATAAAAATCACTGTAAAATATCTATAATATACGTAAGACAGATATATAAAATACCTAACAATAGAGATTTTAAAATCGCATAAATGATAAGAAGACTAGGCCTCCAAAGTTCCGTAAAACCAATAAAAAAGTAGAAGAATTAAAACCAAGTTAGCCAAACTTCCTCTTTTTTATGCCTCTCGTTTTTCCCGGAATCCATAAAAAGGCCAGCAATTCAATAGAAGCATTTATTAATAGTCAAACTAGTTCCCATACACCGCAGCCATAATGACGCTTCCCGCAGTAATAATGATTAAGTGCCGGGCAATGAAATTTTATGAAGCAAATAATTCACTAAACTTAATGCTCGCTCTTGTGATTTTTTTGGCTTGTATTTCTATTGGTGCTCGAGCAGTGCCAAGGGAAAAACTCCCACCTTTTATTAGATTAATTTGACCACATTACTCAGTCAATGGAGCGGTGGAGTGGAGTGGAGTGGAGCGGCTAGGCGACCCCCATAGACATCATCATCTCTGGCCCGATCTGCGTCATGATCTTCGACGCCTGCCTATCCATCTATCAGCCGCAGTTTGACCCAATGGCCGACTTCACAGCTCTTTGCAAACACACTCGGAGCTCACTTTGCGAAGAAAAAGAACTCGGCCCACGCCACTCGGCCAAAAAGCCAAGAAAACACCCAACATCATAAATAAAAATTGTGCCAAAAGAAAAAGAAAAAAGAGTGTGGCTTTTGTTTAAGAAAGCGAAAAAAGCGCTTAACAATAGCCCGCTGACCAGGTGACAAACATTTTTTGGAGCAATTTGAATTGGCAACGCCCCAAATGACTTTTGAATGCCCGAATGGGGGTGCAATTTTTGCGAGCATATTCTATTATTTATATATATATGTATTATTTTGGCCACAGTTGGGCTTACTTACCGCTAAGAGCCGCTTAACCGTAAAAGCATTTCCATTGAGCATTGCGATCGCAGGTTGCTTTCTCGATTTTTTTGTCGGCGTCGCAGTCGCCGTCATAGCCGCGCTTCTGTAGCTCCGAGAAGCTGCCTTGGAACTCCCTGGGAAGGCTTTTCTCTCTCTCTGCAGCAATTTCCCTCCTTTTGTGTGTTTTTGTCGATTTTCCTCCTCTCTCTCTCACTCTCTTCCTTTCTATCTTTCTCTCTTTCGTGGCAGTCGTTAATATACGAGTGTGTTTTTTTGTGCTGTGAAAAGGAGTCGGGGATGTGAGGATGTGAGGGAAGAGACTTGACTTAAACTCTGAACTCTTAGGGTCAAAAACGGAACGAAAACGTTTTTCTCTCTCTCTCTCTTTTTTTTGTACGGGGCAAAGGAAATGCGGCCCACTAAACAAAAAAAAAAAACTAAGGAAAATAATAATAATAATAATTTCTGTTTTATTATTTTGCAGTTGTCGGTTGCCCTGTTGAGAAGGCCAAAAAGCCAGCCAACCGGCCGGCTTGCGGCTCACACGCCCCTCATTCGCATTCAATGGGCATTGAAGCCGCTCCACTTTAAAACGAAAGACTTAGGCAGCGAACTTGAGGCGGCAGCCGAAAAATGGGAAATTAACACCTGAACCGCTGCTGCCCTAACCTAAGCCCTCAAAAACTTATTTCGTTTCGTTTATTTTTCTCGACCGCTGTCTCATGTTTTTCCGTTTTTTTTTTCTATATCTTTTTGTTGTTGCTATTTTCACTTGCTGTGACGACCTTTGAGTCTGTCTCTTGCTCGCTCGCTCGCTCTGTTTTTCCTCGTTTTTCTGTGTGTGTGTGTGTGTGTCTTGTTCTGTTTTTCTTATACGGAATTCGGGTAACGTTTTTGTTGTTGTGTCTTTCTTAGCCGCTGCTGTTATAAAATTTCATTTTATTGCAATGCATGAGTCTGGGCCGAAGAGCTCGAGACTGAGACTAAGGCCAAGACTAAGTCGCAAGACTCGGAGACTGGGTCTGAGAATGTGGCGCTCTAGGGCATTACCGTTAGGCGGCTGAGGCACAAAATACAACAACAAAAAATATAAAAGAATAAACGAGCAGAGCCGATATAAAACATCAACTAACTCCAGCATTTTTATAACTTAATAAAAAAGAGAAAAAAAATACTGGGGGGAGGTTGCCCAGGGAGAAAGGGTGAAGCGCTCTCGAGAGTTCGATTTAAATTGGTCTAAGGTGAGAAAGGCCTGAGAACTAGTCGCTGCACAGAAAACAATGTCATAAAGGTTTCTTGGCAGCTTAAGGTTTGGGGTTTGATAAGGTGTCGGGGAAGACTACACTTTTTAATTGAAAAAATTAATTCACATAACCTTTGGAAAAATTTACAGAAATGAGGCTATTACTGATGGGGGAATTTAGTTGAAATATGAATATCTATTGGGTTATAATTTATATCTTCTTCTCCAATTTAAATTAGTTTTTTGCATAAAATAATGCTTTCAGAAAAGAAATTAAAAAATGAAATAAAATTGATTACTCTCAATAAGATCCTTTAAGTTTTTCCAGGACTTATTAATATATTTTTGGATAATGAAATATTTAAATTCTTAATTCTTCTTAAGAGGCACCATCTTTTTTGCTTTGACAAATTATCTAAGGGATAACTATTAATTTTTATGAACATCTAATTGGGAATTACATGTTTTAATTCCTAATCCAGAAACGTATTTCTCAGGCTTGTAAGAATACATATTTATTTATATATTTTTTAAATATTAAAAAGCTGTTAAGTCTTGAAGAACTTCCTCTTTTATACTTCTTCGGATACTTTTTTTTGCTTTAGAGAATTGCTTTTGGTCAAGGGGCGTGTATGGGCGTGTCTGGACAATTGCCCGACTCAATTTTTTGACCCAGTCAGCCGCGAAGAAGCAGATGCAGATGCAGATGAAGATACAGAGATGCAGATGGAGATGCAGAGATGCTGAGATACAGATGGCGGAGATCTTCCGCAATCGATCAGCATGTGCAAAGTGTTGGGCTGGCAACCGCAAAACGCAAAACTTTTGCTGGGGAGCTGCATTTTTTATGCTGCTGCTGCTGTTGTGTTTGTGGTTTTTGCGCTTGGTCTATCGGTCGCTGGGTCGTCATCAATGCAATGCAACACACACACACGCAGAACCGACTGAGGCTAAGACTCTGGCTAAGACACTCTAGCCGAGAGACACAAGGCAGCAGCAGCAACAAAAAAATAAAATAAAAAGAGCCAAGAGCAGCGCGATTCTGGCACCGTTATGCACCCAATATGGCGACTGCACCACCGCCGCACCACCGTCTCCACCAGAACAGCAGCTCCGCTCCACACATGTGCCGAAGCTGGACTGGCTCTGGCTCTGGCTTTTGGGTCTGGGTGCATCTGCATCCAGAAAACTGGACAGCAGAGACACGGGACTCCGGGGACCCTGGATCTCTGGATCTGTGGATCTCTGGATCTTATGGAGCTCTGTCTTCACTTGACTGCCTTCCCATGTATGTTTGTCCATCTCGCTCGCTATTTGTTTGTTTGTTTGTTTGTTTGTCAGTTGGTTGGTTGGTTGTTGCTTAGCTCGCTGGCTTGGGTTTGTTTGTTGGTTTTTCCTTGGGAGTCCGCAAGAAAAACAGAAATTACACACAGTTGCCCGAATGGGCCGCGCCTTAGTCTAATTCCAGCTTAAGAAATCCTCAGGATCTCTTATCGATTATCATCATTATTATTATTATTTTCCTCTTTTTGTTTTCTTTAAGGAGTAATTTTTAGCTACCGTTTTGTTTTAATTTGTATCTTGGTTTCAACACTCGCGTCGCGGCACTTTCTTGTAGATTGTGTGTGATGTGTTCAAGTGTTTTATTTTTTCGGTTCAGTTTGATTTATTTCTTTTTTTGCTAGCAAGTTGAGTGTGTGCAAAGTGCAGCCGCATCCACGGAGATGAGCTGAGCTGGGCACGTCCGCACGTAACGATGGTCAGCAACGAACTGAAGAGGAGCCAGCCAGCCACGGACTTAAAGAACCAAAGACAAGCAGCCGCAGTTCGCAGTCGCCAGCAACAGCAGCAGCAGCAGCAGCAGCAACATCAGCAGCAACAGCAAAAGCAACAGCAACAGCAGCAGCAACACGAAGAAGCCACTTGGCCAGCTCAAAGAGGAGAGCTTTTTGGCCAAAGTCAAAGTCAAGGCAGCGAAGCTTTCTCAGACACGACAAGTGCCGAGGTCTTGGCCAAAATGTTGTTGCTATTGCTGCTGTTAGCGATCATATTGCTGCTGTTACCCGAGAGATATTGCTGCTGTTACTGCTGATGCTGCTGCTGCTGCCGATGTTGCTGCTGCTGCTGCTGCTGCCTTGGCTGTGTATGCAAATGCGCTTTATTTGTTTCTTTAATTATGAGTGTCAGGTCCGAGAGAGTGCGAACGGCACAGATTAAGAGAGATAAACGGCGAAGCGTTTGTAGTACACCTACACGACGCAGAGATCGCAGCTGCCCAAGCATCTGCATTTGCTTCGAAATTAACCGTTTTAAGTTACAGTCAAAGTTCGATAAATGCAACTACTTGAACTCCAAAAAGGGGAAATGATATAAATCCCATAATATTTTGAGATTATTATTCAAAAGGTATACATTAAAGAATTGAGTCGCTAAACAACTTATTTGGGATTCCCCTATTCCTTTCAAACCGCGAATATTTTGTGATGTTTTGTAATGTTTGTAATATATATTATATATTATAATTCATTTCGGTACAGGAACAAACGTATTAATAATTTACTAAATAGAATAATGGCTTAGTAAAACTCCTTTAGCAGGGATAAGGATAACGACTTTTAGGTTGCAAACTTCGATTTAAATATATCATAAATATTTAAATTCAAATCATTACTGATTAGGGTAAATGTAAATGGCAGGTTTTATTTTGTTATTTTTTTTTTAATACCCTTCCACAGAATCCCGACTGTAGTTGATTTTTATGTTCGTTACACTTCCGTCACTTGAGGTTTTGAACCCGTGTTGCAATCGCAATGAGGCAAGTGAAGCAACTGAGTCCGCATTGCGAAACGCTAAGAACAAGCTGGCGAGAATGAAAATTATAATAATAATAATAATAATAATAATGAGGTGGCGGGGAATGGTCAAATCCAAACGCACTCCATTTGGCTGAGGCCAAAAACTATACAAATGCGTCTTCCCTAATTGAATAATGCGGCGACTGCTCTGCTCTTTAAGTCGTTGGGGCTCTTTAAAATTTAAAATTATAATTTAATGGTTTTAAATTGGTCGCTTGGGGTGTAATTTTCGCATTTGAGTTCGTTTTAAACAAACTGTTTGCTGTTTTCACATTATCAAAGGTGGGGTGGTCTCTAAAGTTAGTTAAGGAACTAAGAATGAGAATTTAAAAACCAGTTAAATTAATTTGATGAAATTTTAATCATACTTTTATAAAATAATTTATTTTCATAGTAAGAACATATTTTCTGTAATGTTCGAAGCAGTTTTTATCAAGTTTTCTCTTTTATCTCATATCATTTAATAAGTTTATGTATATTTGTGTTTTTTGTTCCAAAAATGTGTTAATTTATGACAATCTGAAAAACCCTCTAGCTGGGTTTCTCAGCTTATAACTCCTCAAACCACCCACGCTTCCATTGAGCGGCAAGTCCGAGGGAACTCAACTTGGGTGTAGACATCGCATATTGTGCCAAGTGGTCACTTCAAAGCGCTTTTGATCGTTTTTGATTTCACATTCAATTTTATATCTGCCCTCTTTGTTTCGCTCATTCTAAAAAATACAACAACTACAATAAATTGCTTCGATTTTCGAGCATTTTCTGGAAGACAGCGTCTTAATTTGAAGATTTATTTCAAGCACCGGAAGCGTAGCAACCTCACCCTCCTCCATCGCACCCAGAAAAAAGAGTTGATTGTCCCGAATCGAAAATCGCATATTACGAACATATATAGATTTGGCTGGGAACAGGGCCATAATTGACGCTGATTGTCCATGGTTGCTTGCTTAATTCTACAGTTTTTCTTTATTTTTTATTTTATTTTTATATTTTTT